GGAGAAGACAGCATTCTACAAGCCCAAGGGATAGGCCCAGAATAGGTCCTTCTCTGAGACCTCAGCTCAAGAATCCTGCTGACAGTCTTATTTGGACTTCTAGGCTCTAGAACCCTGAGAGGATATGCTTCTCTTGTTCAAGCCCCTTGGTTTGTGATACTTTGTTAGGGCAGCCCTAGCAAACTAATGCACTCACGCAACAAGATAAAAAGTCCTTTTCATGACTATACGCATTGGGCAGGGGGGAAAAAAAAGGAGTTGGGTGTTTTTATGACTTTTGCCCCAGCGCTGTCTTGAATATAAAGTGGTTGGAGTTTGTGCCTGTGGCCAAGCAGCAGGCCCATTAGTTCCTGGAAACGGAAGTTGTAGCAGCATTCTGGGCATAGGCATGTATAGTAGTTTTGGTTTTGTTCCTTTTTTTTTTTTTTTTTTTTTTGATTTTTTTTATTTATTTAACAGAGATCACAAGTAGTCAGAGAGGCAGGCAGAGAGGAGGAAGCAGGCTCCCCGCTGAGCAGACAGCCTGATGCGGGGCTTGATCCCCTGGGATCAAGCTTTAAACCACTGAGCCACCCACACGCCCCTGTTTTTGTTTCTTTAATTGAAACCAAGCAGAGCAGATATCGCAAATGTTGGGCCATTCAGAAAGAAGATGATACTCCAGAGATCTGCTCTTATCACTACATTTACAGATTAATCACATATTAACTCTGCCATGTCATGCTGAACACGCTCAGCACTTACAAGTACAACCAGAAGTTGTTCTACAATATAATCTAATATATCCATTTTGATTTTCACAAAACTCCTAGGAGGTAGGTTCTCTGCCTTGCTGTTATGAGTTTCTTAGATTTGCTGCTGTAACATATCACCACAAACACAGTGGCTGAAAACAACACAAATGTACTCTCTTCTACAAATCAGAAGTCTGGATTGGATCTCATTGGACTAAAATCAGGGTATAAGTAGGATGATGTTTCTTCTGGAAGTCCAACGGGGCAATTCGTTTCCGGGCCTTTATCAGTTATTTGGGTGGAGGGAGAGGGAGAAGCAGATTTCCCGCAGAGCTGGAAGCCTGATGCAGGGCTCAGGCGCAGGGCTCCATCCCAGGACTCCGGATAATGACCTGAGCCAAAGGCAGGAGCTTAATCCACTGAGCCACCCAGGCGGCCCCTTTCCCAGTTTCTTAAGGCCTCCTGCTTTCCTTGGCTGGTGGCCCTATCCTCCATCTTCAAATCTCTGACCACCACTCAGCCTCTCTCTTCCACTTGGAGGTGCCCTGGTGATCATACCGGGGACCCTGGAGAATCCAATCATCTCCATATTTTAGAGTTAGCTGGTTGGCAACCTTAATTCCACCTGCAGTCTTAAGTGCCCTTTGCCACGGAACCTAACATCCACAATTTCCAGGGTGAAGGATGTGCCCATCGCTGCAGGGGCTACTCACTCTTCCGCAGTCCTCACTTAGGCCCAATGTCCCCCAGCTAGTAAGGGGAGTGCTGAGCCCGAGAAACTGATCGCGTAAACTGGAGGCAAAACTCTTGTTGCTGGGAGACACTTTCCCTCAATAATATTGGCATTGATCTAGGGCGCTTTGGAGCTATAGGGCGCTTTGGAGCTACAGTTTTAAAACGCGCCCTTAGTAGGCCCGGCTACTCCGATAATAGCGCCTCCCGCCCAGCCCGAGAACATTCCTTTAACCAGCAACCCGAAAGACGACCTGTCGGCCCGCCCCGCGGAAACGCGCTAGTCCGGGGACGCCGGGGTCGTCTCCGGTCGCCGGGGAAGCCGGTAAGCGATCCCGCCGCCTGGCAGGGAACCTCTGGAGGAGGGAACGCGGCCGGCGGTGGGGACCTGGGGCCCGGGAAGCGGGCGGCGCCCTCGCGCGATGGGGGCGAGCGGGAGACCCGCTCTCGGCGCTGTCGGATCCCCGCCCCAGCTCCGTCCCCGGCCTGGGCCGCTCGCCCGCGGGTCCCCCGCCGCCTCCCGTGCTCCTGGCGCCGGTCGCGGCTCCAGCGCTGGAGGAGGAGGGGACGCGGCGCGGCAGGATTCGCGCTTGGCGCGGCAGGATTCGCGCTTGGCGCCCCCCCCCCCCCACGGTGCGGGCCCCCCTCACGGTGCGGGGCGCCCGCGTGCAAACCTGAGAAGATCGCGCGCCCGGGTGTCTCACCCGCGATCCCAATTCTGGCTGTTTCCAAACCATTTTACTAGTATTTGGGAGGAGCATGCAAAGGGACTTCGTCACAGTGTATACAGGTCTCTTACTGATCTTACGGGTGTCGTCAGATTGAGTAGCGGGTAGATGGGGTGACTCAGTGGGTTAAAGCCTCTGCCTTCGGCTACGGTTGTGATCCCAGGGTTCTGGGATCAAGCCCCGCGTCGGGCTCTCTGCTCAGCGGGGAGCCTGCCTCCCCCTCCTCTCTTTGCCTGCCTCTCTGCCTACTTGTGATCTCTCTCTGTCAGATAAGTAAATAAAATCCTAAAAAAAAAGAAAGAAAGAAAGAAAGAAAGAAAGAACCAAAGAAAAACTGGTTTTCAGCTAAGAAAATCAATGGTGGTTCTTGCTTATCGGATATGTCCTTGACATAGAATGAAGACCCTGAAGAATAAAAGAAAAGAAATATGGGAAAACGTGGCCTCCTTGTTACTTTTTTTTTTTAAGGATATTATTTGTTTATTTGAGAGAGGTAGAGAGAGAGAGAGAGAGAGAGAGAGATTGAGAGCAGGAGCAGGGAGCCCAACCCAGGACTGGATCCCAGCACCCTATGATCACGACCTGAGCTAAGGGCAGACGCTTAACCAACTGAGCCATCCAGGAGCCCTGGCCTGCTTGTTAAATCGGGTAATACCAAGGGCCAGTTAGAATAGGAGCAACTTTTTTCTTTCAGATCCCTAAATACACTGAAAGACCAGACTTCTTGAAAAGAATTGTTTTTGAACACAGTGCCTCTAATTTGATTAATGTGGAGCAATTAATTTTAAAGTTGCCGGGTGATTCTATGACGCACATGAATACAAATGACATTTTACAGGTCGTTGTAGTGTTTGTTTTAGTTGTGATTTTTGCTCTACCTGCTGTGTTCTCTGTGCCTCATAATTCTTTGTGGTGTGATTAAAACAAAAAACAAACAAAAAAACCCCACTACAAATAGGCTTTCTGAAAATTCAGTTAATTCATTCTGGTGGTTTTCTTTTTTCTTAATGCACCAAGTTGCTAAGGAAAAAATGCATCATGTTGCTAAGGTTTTAATAATAATAATGGCTGCCATTTATCCACGGCCTCCCCTGTACCAGGCAAAGTGTTAGGTACTTTATATTCAATCTCCTTTACCTATGATCCGATCCAGCTAACTGCTTCATCTGGGAAATACAGAAAGGGAGACTGAAGTTCAAAGACTCTGTTTATGTCTTCTTAATCCCAGCACCTCTAGCTCAGCGTGTCCTAAAAGGAACACATCTCCCTTCACCATGCTGTTCCCCAGCCCTGCCACACTCCCACCGCCAGAAGAATGAAACACACACACGCATACACACAGAACCATTGTGCTTTTCCTTTTTTTCAGGGAATGGTATCATCGTTCAGCTAGTTCAACTAGTCACCTAGTTCACCTAGTCCCTTTCTCCCTGCTTATCCCCCATAAATTTGTCACCAAAAATCTTACGAGTTCTTTCTACATATTTTCTTCTCATTCTTCTCTTTGTTCCCACTGCCACCACCCCATTCCACTCCATCATCATTTTCCTGCCTTTTCTGTTGTCGGAGTCGCACTCCAGCGCTCCTGTCCCGTCCTATGTGCAGTCCATTCGCTCTATGGCCAGAGTAAGTTATTTTTTCTAATATGCTCTCTTGACTAAAATCCTTCAGAGATAGCACATCAATTACCCCAAGGATAAAATCCAGCAACCTGAGTTTGGCTTGCAGTGGTCTTCAGATAAGACCCTGTCTGCCTTACCAGCCTGTGACAGTCCTCTTTCAATTCCTTGAACTGAACACAATCCCTTTGGCTCTTTTTTTTAAATAAGATTTTATTTATTTATTTGACAGAGAGAGATCACAAGTAGGCAGAGAGGCAAGCAGAGGGAGAGGGGGAATCAAGCTCCCCGCTCAGCAGAGAGCCCGATGTGGGGCTCAATGTGGGGCTTGATCCCAGTACCCTAAGATCATGACCTGAGCTGAAGGCAGAGGCTTAACCCACTGAGCCACCCAGGTGCCCCCTCTTTGGCTCTTAAATATGCCAATCCCTCTGCCTACATCGCTTCCCCCCGCCCCCCATTGCCTAGCCAACTTCCAGTCATCCTTCAGGCTTCAGTAAAGTATCATTTTCCTGACTCGTCTGGATATTTCTGCCATGCGCCAGCCTAACTCTGTGAGACTTATCACCCTACATTTGTTGAGGTCTGAGGTCCTGCCTGCTTTGGGGCATGCGTGATAGGGACCATGAGAGGTCAAAGTCCGCTGCTGTAGCATCAACGTATACAAACCACACCGTTCCTTGAACAGTGCAGGTTTGAACTGCACAGGGCCACTTACATCCAGCAATTTTGATAAATGCAGTACAGTCTGTAAATATTTTTTTTTTTAAAGATTTTATTTATTTATTTGTCAGAGAGAAATCACAAGTAGGCAGAGAGGCAGGCAGAGAGAGAGGAGGAAGCAGGCTCCCTGCTGAGCAGAAAGCCCGATGCGGGGCTTGAACCCAGGACCTGGGATCATGACCTGAGCCGAAGGCAGCGGCTTAACCCACTGAGCCACCCAGGCGCCCCTGGTCTGTAAATATTTTTTATTCAGGATTATAAAACCTGGCATGGGTGCCCAGGGTCTACCTGTTTAGCCAATAAAGGAATAAATTGCTGTTGTCCTACCATGGTCATTTTGAGCTACTTTGACTTCATTCTGCCTTTTGAAATATATTTAATTTTCAACGTTTCCGTTTTTGAATACAGGTCGAGAGAGGTCGTGGTGACCGTGTCAGTGGAGCCAGGCTGTGTGGGTTCCCAGCATGGATGGCTATGTGGTCCTGAGAGTGATCGGAGAGGGCTCTTTCGGCAGAGCCCTTTTGGTTCAGCAAGAAAGCAGTAATCAGCTGTTTGCCATGAAGGAAATAAGGCTTCCCAAGGTCACTGCTGAAGCCATTAGCTCATGTTGAAAATGTAGATGCAGTTTGCCCAGGAAAATTAGTTCTTGAGATTTAACATGGAATTGCTCTTTTGTGCAAAAGATGTAATGGGTTTATTCATTAGCTTTACAAGGTCTTGATGTATTTTATATGGATTTTAGGTAATTTTTGTAATTAACAAAGAGGGAGAAAAAATAATCTAGGTGGTGGTTGCTGTTTATCTCAATGAATAATTTCCAATTTTTCATACCTAAGAGGGAAAGAAGCTTTGCCAGAAGCAGCTCAGGTGCCCTATTAATGAAAACAGAGCATAAAAAATACAATGAAGAGCAAAAACCTAACATGCTAACCTTTGATATCAGAGAAGCTGTTTTGTGGATCAGTTTTGGGTTTTATTTCCCTGGAAGGTGCTACCTGGTTCTTGTTTATCATAGTTGTTGCAGGAAAGAATCTGTGCCATTGAGGTTGTTTAATAACGTCTTGATCAATTTTCTAAAAATACATTTTAATACAATTCTCAGAATTCTAAGCATTTATTTCCCCACTGTGTTCTTGACCTCTTTCCGTGATTCTCGAGTGGGCTTCAAAGTCATCTGGAGGTTAAAACACAGATTGCTGGGCCCCACCTCTGAGTATCTGGTTGAGGATGTGCAGATGGGCTGGTGAATTTGCATTTTTTTTTTTTTTTTTAGAGATTTGTTTATTTTGAAGAGAGAGTGAGAAAGAGAATCTCAAGCAGCCTCCCTGCTGAGCGTAGAGGCCAACAGGGGACTCCATCTCATGACCCTGAGATCCTGACTTGAGCTGAAATCAGGAGTTAGAGGCTTAACCTACTGAGCCACCCAGGCGCCCCTTTTTAAAATATCTTTTTGTAATTCTTTTTTTTTTTTTTTTTTTTTCTAATGGCAGTTTCTTAATTGAAAGACAAGCCATTCAGGATTTCGTCCTCAGAGAGTAAGTTAGGGATAAGCAGTTTTGGAAACCAGCTTTGTAAATCACCTTCTTCCATGCTTACTGCACTAACACATCAGTCTTTCTCATCTGGGCCAGTGGGCTGCAAACATGATGCAGAGAGTAAGACATGAGAGCCCCAGTTCTTAAGGATATGCTGTGGTTAATGGCATGCCCATTCTCCACATCAGTTACGATGAGACTGATGTGAAAACTGGTTTACGTTCTATACTTGGAAGGATATAAGGGTCAACTTTAGCATGTAAAATATAGCCACAGTTGAAAAATCACCACGTTTTCTCGTAGAGTTTGATAAACATTAGTTGGGTCACAGCGTGTTGCTTCAAAACTGCCTCTGGCATTGACGTATACAAACCACACTTGACCCTTGAACAACACAGATGTGAGCTGCGTGGGGTCACTTATATGCAGATTTTTTGGATAAATGCCATCCAGGACTGTAAATGTATTTTCTCTTCCTTATGATTTTCTTGGTAACACTTTCTTTTCTCTAGCTTACTTTATTGTGAGAATATAATATTATTTATTGTGAGAATAGCATATAATACATGTAACATACAACATGTGTGTCAATTGACTATGTAATTGGCAAGGCTATTAATGGTTATGTTTTTGGGGAGTCAAAAGTCACAGGTGGATTTTTGACTGCACAGGGGGGCGGATCACTGCTCCCAGCTCCCATGTGGTTCAAGGGTCAACCGTATTGTTGTAAAACTATCCTTTTTAAAATGAAGTATTCCATTTATGCTATTTAAAATCTTCTTCTAGTCTCTCTCTGGTACACAGAATTCTAGGAAGGAGGCTGTTCTGTTAGCCAAAATGAAGCACCCCAATATTGTTGCCTTTCAAGAATCATTTGAAGGTAAATATGAATTCCCCCAAATAAATGCATTGTGGAATTTGACTTATGGCCTCCAGGCTTTCCTCAGGAGTCTTCTGTTTGTTCTAGCTGATGGACACCTGTATATTGTGATGGAATATTGTGACGGAGGGGACCTAATGCAGAAGATAAAGCATCAGAAAGGAAAGTTGTTTCCTGAAGATACAGTAAGAGAGGGGCTTCCACGATTTCTCTCAAGATTTAGAAGCAACTTTCCTCCCAAAATGGGTATAAGTTCACATGAAAGCATTATACGTGTGGTTACCTGATACACTTGTTAGAAGCAACTCGCTTCCCTATTGCTGCTCCTGTTTGTGTGTGGGAGGTGGCTGCCAGAGACATTTCCAGCAAGTTCAATAGATATGTTTATAAAATATCAAGGAATAAAACTTGTGTGTGTAGAAGAGTTTCAAAATTGTATTGCTCCTGTTTTGTCCTGTATATTTCAAATTATGAATTTTGTGGTACTGACATTGTAGAAGACAGAGTTATTTGGCATTACTTGATCATCAGAAGAACGAAGCCCAAATTCCTGGGTCATGGAAATACCTCCTCATGGGAATACCTATTGTCACACTTTTTCCTTTTACAATTTAGCATTTTCCTTTATGTCTAGTATTTCCTGCCTTTTTAAAGGAAAATTGTGTATTAAATATTATTAGAATGAATTGACTAAGGAAAATAGTTAAATAAACACCATGAATGGGACTTTGTCTGGTTTAGGGTATAACATGTTATGAAAGCATATTGGTATAAATATTTTTATTTAGCAGTTGTGTTGTTAAAAATATGGATTCCAGAGAAGGAGGTCAAACTTGGCTTCAAATGAATGAATCTCCATAGCAAAAAAGGAAAAAAAGTCAGTTTGACATTTAATTATAGGCTTAGAAATTCTGAATACTACTGACTCAGGATTTGTAAGAAGAAAATGCTGACTCACCGGATGGTTGACAACATAATGAAATCTTTTAATGTTAATAAATGAACACTCTGAAAAGGCAAATGAAAATCTGATGTAATGATTACAAAAAGTTGTAGCATACTCATTCCTTAGTGGTGAATTACCTTTATATATATATTTAAGAAATACTTTTATTTGGTTGAATTCAAGAAAACCATAGTGGGAGTTTTATTGAACTAAATTGCTGTTTAGATCATACGTAAGATGATGGAACATGGGATTCACAGTTTTTCTGAATTCTCCCAGGCAACGTTGAATCTTAATTGAACTAGGTAATTTTTAGGGTTCTGTATTAATATTACAGAAAATCCAGGTCAGCTAAGGCCTGGAGATGATTCTTTGGGATTTGGGGTTGACGCGAACCAGTTACTGCATGCCTTTTCCTTACAGATACTTAATTGGTTCACACAAATGTGCCTTGGAGTAAATCACATTCACAAGAAACGTGTGTTACACAGAGATATCAAGTCCAAGGTAAGTGAAATACCTTTTGGGGCCTCAACACAAAAACAGAAACAAAGACTATTTCACTCAGTCTTTTTTCTGTGTTCTTCTGTTTCCTTTTGGGACATTTTTATTTAGCCTAGAAGTCTTTGTCAACTTAATATTTATACGAGCCAAGGAAGGTACTACCTGAGAAAGATCATTTAATCTCTTTACTAGTGTATGTTAATAGGTTCCTAGCTCTCTTAGCGATTGCTAAGACTATCTTTCTCAAATGGAAAATGGTCAAGACCTGTGCCATGGAGTCCCCCTGACACGTTCCCAGGCGTTCCATCGGGCTCTGCTGATACGAGATTTTATTTATTTACTTGAGGGAGAGAGAGAGAAAACACACACACACACACAAGAGCAGGTGGAGGTGTAGAGGGAGAAGCATACTCCTCACTGAGCAGGGAGGCCCAATGCAGGCCTTGATCCCAGGACTCTGGGATCATGACCTGAGCTGAAGGCAGATGCTTAACCGACTGAGCCACCCAGGCTCCTGTCTACCGATAAAATCTTAAGCTCGCTTGTTTGATTTCTAAGCAGTGATCCTGAGTTCCCAAGCAGGGTAACGTGTATCTGTCAGAAGGGTATCTTATTTTGTGTTCCGCTCCAGAACTGATCTGTCAGCATCTCTGCCCTTAATCTCCATCACCAGCAGGCTTTGATAGACAGCTTCTCTGAGATCTCTGCCTTGCGGGTGAATGATGCAAGACATAATCTCAGCTCTTCTTTTTTATTTTTTTTTATTTTTAAAGATTTTATTTATTTATTTGACAGAGAGAGATCACAAGCAGGCAGAGAGGCAGGTAGAGAGAGAGGAGGAAGCAGGCTCCCTGCTGAGCAGAGAGCCCTATGCGGGGCTCGATCCCAGCCAGCTTTTCTTTTTTAATGCAGAACATCTTCCTCACCCAAAGTGGAAAAGTAAAACTGGGAGATTTTGGATCTGCCCGTCTTCTCTCCAAGTATGTATATCTGTTTTGTAGTAGTGACAGCAATCAAAATATCCCTTATTCAGGAATGCGCTGTAATCGTGCTTTGCCTTCTTATGGTTTTAGTCCTATGGCGTTTGCTTGTACATATGTGGGAACACCCTATTACGTGCCCCCAGAAATTTGGGAGAACATGCCTTACAACAATAAAAGGTAAGTAATGTTCTTGCTTGATACATTAAGTCCTGAGCTTGACCACTTGATGACAGGCATTGTAACCGACAAGGGAAGTTTGGTTTTTGAAAAATATATTTGAAAGCAATATAGAATCTAAATGCCCAGGCTTCTAGATGAAAGTCACAGTTTTCCAACTGTTTTAACCAGAGTTAAAAGGAGCCAAATGTAAATGCTAAAGGAAAGGCTAGTCATTTCTAGGGAACAGTATGAATGACATAATAGAATGAATGACATGACTGCTTTTCACACTCTACTGCTCTTGCTTTTAAAAGTCCCAAAGCTCAGGTTGCAGCTCTGCCAGTTACATCAGAATGTCAGGGGGTGAGAAGCGTACATCGGTAATTTTCCAGCATCACCAAATGATTCCAATGTGTGGCAAAATTTGGGAACTACTGGATTATGTCAATGAGTTCATATTGGCAGGACTGGATAATAAGTACTTGACTGATAGGTTAATTAATTAAAAGAAGATAGTCTTAAGACCTTACGATTTAAAACAGAATTTTTTTCTGAATATAAGTCATGACATGCCCACTGATGGAATGGGTGAACAGAGGAATATCGGAAATAGATATACAAGAAAGGATATGGCCATCACCTACTTTTTCACTGCTGTTAATAACATTTTGATGTTTTTTCCATCCATTCACTTCCTCCTGCCAAACCTAGTTTATGTATTCTATATACAACTTAGTATCCTCCTTTTTTTATTTTATTATATCATATTCATATCACCACATATTTAAGCTCTTCACAAATATTGTTGTTGGTCTAATGACATATTTCCAATTTTCAGTACCATAATCAGTGTCATGATTAATAGACCTGTTGTGAGTAAACAGATCAGTATTTTGTAACACATTCTTGGCATGAATTCCTAGAAGTAGAAAACCTACAGGCTCTTGTTACCTTCTGTCGAGTTGATTTCTGTAAAGAACATGGTGATCCATACTGAATAGTTTCTTTTAAGAGTAAAACTGAGTGCACTGGGGACAGAGCAGCTATGAAGAAACTTACTGGGCCAATTGGGGAGATTTGATTTTGGACAAATATTTGGTGATATGATTGACTTAAGGTTAAATTTCTTGGATGTGACAATGGTATTGTGTTTATGAGGAAGAGTACATGCTGACATGTTTGGGGATGAAGTCTTTGGTGTCTGCAGACTTTTTTTCAAGAGATTCAGATATATGTGGAACTAGGTGGTGAGAAGGATGGAGGAAATGGAGATGCTTAGAATGAAGAAGGGTGGGCGTATGGGGCAAACTATAGAACTCTTCTGATTTATGAAGAACTGTTTGGGGGAAGAATGAGTAGTCTTATTCTCTTGGTTTGGGAATGTAGAGCTAACACAGGGTGATAAGGGTATCCAGAAGACACATTTTGGCTTATGATAAAGAAGACCACTCTCCCTAGAGCCATTCAACAGGCTGTGCGCAAGGTAAAGAGCTATTTTTCAGGAGGTGTGGCCAAAAGGCCTGGGGTTGCGCACAGATGGTCTGGGTAGAAGCTATACTGCATGACTTCTAACCCTCCTTCCAACTATGCCAGTCTGAGTCCACAAATACTCCCTCCTGTACCGAATGCTCCTGAAATGATGTCTGAACAGCCTTGATTTGGAGGGTAGGGGCTCGGGAGCAGAGAGTTTTACTGAGAACATTACTGTGAGTAAGTATCTAAGTATTAAACCAAACTTACCAGGTATTGTATTTTAATAACTAGGAATTACTTATGATATTTATTCTTATTGAAGATAATTTTTCATTTTTCTTTTCTTTTATATTTCATATAATCACGCATAACCCATTTGTCATTCCATTGCTTCTTTATGCTTCCAGTGACATCTGGTCCTTGGGATGCATTCTCTATGAGCTCTGTACCCTTAAGCATCCAGTAAGTATGGTGTGTAAATTGGAAAAGGCAGCCTCTTGTCATATCTGGCTAAGTCCTTAGTAATGTACCAGGTTCCACTTGGCCGTGTGCTTCCCTTGGGCTCTGTAGGAGTGCCGACAGCATTGACTCTATCTTTGGCCTGCCATGTTGGCCCACAAGTGGTACCACAAGGGATAACTCCCTTGTGACCTCACCACCATGCTCCTCGCTCCAGGGAAGCTGGGGATTAAGGTCCACATAGTTGCCCTATAGAGAACAGGGCAGAGAATAGCTGCGTAGTGACCTGCATTCCCCTGCCCACCTTGCCCCCGTGCCCGTTGTCCCTGTCGGTAATTACTCTGCATAAAACTCTGGGTAAACGGTATGGAGTGGCTTGCTTTGTGTTTCAGTATTAAAATGCCTTCTTGGTCTGGATGATCCATGACTGACCCTCCTCTACTTTCTGACAGATGAATTCATACTCTTTCCTTGGGTGTCACCTTTGCCTTGAGTCCCTTTGGTAGCATATACTAATAGGAAATTTTCGTTATTTAGTTTCTGTAGTTTTATATTTAGCTTGCCTGCCTTCCTTCCTTTTTTCTTTCCGTCCCCTCCTCCATCCGTCCTTTCTTTTTTTCACTATTCTCAATTTTTTTTATGTTGGTAAAATACAATCTATATCATGAAATTAGCCTTTTTAACCGTTTTGTGTGGCATTGATTACTTTGCAGTATTGTGTAGTCATCTCTGGTACCTATTTGCCAAACTTGCCCAGCCCATGCTCCTAAACAGAAACTCTGTACCCATTAAACGATAACTTCTCATCCCCACCCCTCCCCACCAGCCCCTGGTAACCTCTAATCCACTTTCTGTCTCCAAGAACGTGTGTATTCTAGATATTTCCGGTAAGTGGAATTACGCAGTACTTTTCCCTTTGTGTCTGGCTTGTTTCATGTAGCATAATGTTGTAACATGGGTCACAATTTCATTCCTTTCTGTGATTGAATGATATTCCATTATGTATGTTTATATCTTATTTTGTTTATCCATTCATCTGTTGCTGGACATATGGGTTATTTTCTCCTTTTGGCTATTGTGAAAAAAATTATCTTTATATTTATTTTTTCAAGATATTTTAAAACACAATTTAACAAAAAAGAGGCTAAATAACTTGGCCGGCTTGTTTAGCAGTTACTATTACACAGAACTAACAATCATAGCACTTGTCCCTGTTAAGTCTTGGCTTTTCATAGAAATAAATGCTGCCCTTTGGGCACAGATTGAAACTTAGCTCTAACCAAGCATTTTTTCATTTTTTATTTTTTAAGTTTTAATTGAAATACGGTTGACATAGAGTGTCATGTTAGTTTCAGGTGCACAACATAGTGATCCAGCACTTGTAAATGCAGTATTGCTCACCGTACCCATAGTCACCATACGAAGTTACTATGATATTATTGGCTGTATTGCCTGTACTCTACTTTTCATCCCCGAAACTTAATTATTTTATACTTGGAAGTCTGTGCCTCTTACTGCCCTCTGCCTATTTCACCCATCCCCACCCACCCCTGGCAAGCATCTTTACAGATGTGCCTGAGAGGTATGAGAGTGAATGATGGAGGAACAGCCTTTGCCACCACTAAGAAAGCCCCTCACACTGAAACCACGTGCTGTCTTCCTCCAGTGTGCATGGTTTATAACGCCTGCTGCATCGTTACCACAACTTGGGAGACTTTACAAAATGGCGATACCTAGGCCCTTACTATAGTAATTGAATAGAAACCCCTGAGGGTGTCCTGGACAGTAGTGTTTTATAGAACAGGTGATTCTAGGGGTGCCTGGGTGGCTCACTTGGTTGAGGGCCTGACTCTTGGTTTCAGCGCAGGTCATGATCTAAGGGTCATGAGACTGAGCCCCGCGTGGGGCTCCCAGCTCAGCTAGGGCTCTGCTGGAGGTTCTCTTCCTCTCCCCCTGTTCACATCTGCTCTGTCTCTCTCTCTCTCTCCCTCTCTCAAACAAACAAATAAATAAATAAATCTTTAAAGCAGGTGATTCTAATGAGCAGCCCAAGTGGAGAGCCACTGTTTTATATAAAAAGGATTATTTTTAAAATACCAGTATTTTATTTATGATTATATTCTTTATTCCCCTGATTCTGTCTTTTGTGTGTGTAGGTGTGAACTTTCATATACATGTTCTTATTCCTTCTAGCAAGAATAAGAATTAAGGAGTATGGTACCCTGATATTTGACACACAATCTGTTTTCTCATCTGCTTTGAGGCAAAAGTAGTTCTCAAACCTTTAGGAAATGCAGAAACCTGGTATAATGGTTCAAAAGCTGGAGACAGAGCAGATTTAGTCTCATTTTTCACTACCTGAATTTTTCTCTTGTTATCTGTTGATTTTTTTTTTCTTTTTTCATATCTTCACTTGCATATTTTACTAATCGGGTACATTTTCAAGGCAGAATGCCAACATGTTCTTACATTAAGTATCACCAAGACTAACTAACATCTAGTGTTAATTTCAAAGTTTATTCTACAGTGAAGATTTTTTTAAAATGTTATGCTGGCATGTCATTCTGATTCCCATTCTATTGCTTGTCAAATTCTAATAGCTACTTTGATTATATGAAAGGTAAAAGGGATTTGGCAGTACACTTTTAAAGCTGGAATAGTCTGGAATGCGTATCACGAGGGGGCAGGCCTAGCAGGTTCTGGGGAGGAATGAACCTAAGGGATGTTACACTTATTATTGGCCTGTTAGGACCATTGACTTCTTAAGCTACATGTATGTGGGGCTTCTGGGTGGCTTAGTGGGTGAAGCCTCTGCCTTCGGCTCAGGCCATGATCTCAGGGTCCTGGGATCCAGCCCCACGTTGGGTTCCCTGCTCAGCAGGGGAGCGTGCTTCTCCCTCTGCCTCTGCCCCTCCCCCTGCTCCTGTGCTCTCTGTCTTGCTCTGTCTCTCAAATAAAATCTTTTTTAAAAAGCTACATGTATGTATTACCTTGATTTTTAACATATGTTAACAATGTGTATCTGCACACACATTGATTATGAGTGATAATGTACCCAAAGCTGGCATCAGTGCTCAGATTTTCCTCTAGATGGGCAAGTTTTGCCCTGTTTATGTTTACCTTCCCTCTGAACCCACCGTAAGATTTCAAATAGTACCTTAAGGATCCCTCTGGGAAGTAAAATGACCAGGCGGCATATACTTTTATAAAATTAAATTAGTTCATAAGGATTTCGTTGAGCTGGCAATTTCTTCCACTCCTGCCTTGTCTCTTCTCTTACATTCAGTTGTACTTTTTAGTTTCAGGCAAACAGCTGGAAAAGTCTTATTCTCAAAATATGTCAGGGGTCCCTGAGCCCACTGCCATCTCAGTACTCCTGTGAACTCCAGCTTCTGATCAAGCAGATGTTTAAAAGGAATCCCTCACATCGCCCTTCTGCTACAACACTTCTCTCCAGAGGCTCTTTGGCTCGGCTTGTCCGCAAGTGCTTACCCCCAGAGGTACGGTGGGTCGACTGTGAGTGGTTTTCAAGTATGGCTAAATGGTTTGTTATCTTTTAACACAACATATAGGACATGCTTGTAAAAATTCAAATAATGCAGAAGAGTATACAAAAAAGTAAAAACTTCCTTTCCCTCCTCCTCTCCCTTCCACAGTACTGTTCCCTGAGAATCCTCATAGGGAGAGTTTGCATAACCTTTCTGGTCTTTTTCTAGACCTGTAGCAATATCTGTATATGTGTCTAAATTATAGGCATTTTCTAAATGGCATTTTAGATGCCATAAATCATATGATTATGGGGAATATGTTTGTGGAGAATATGATTGTAGGGAATAATGTTGATAATTAAATGACATTATGGCAGTGTCTAAAGAAAAGTGTACCTCACATATTTAAAATTCTTTACTTGAAACTTTCAGATCATCACAGAATATGGCAATCAGGTATTAGAAGAAACCAAAAATTCTAAGCATAGTACACCAAGGAAAAAGGGTAAGAATTTTAGAAAGCTTGCCTTTTGTTCCATTTTCTTTTAAAATATAGTTTAACAAAAAAGAAAAAATACAGTTTTCAAGTTACTAGAGACAATTTCGGAGATCTCCTGAAATTAAAAAATTTTTATTGCTATTTCAGATGTAATTCTGTACTGACTTTTATGCTTTTAATTTTCCAGGGATCAAAAAGCCTAGTTTGGAGATTTTAATGATGTAAAGATCGTTCTCCATTTCATTATTAGTACCACGTTCCCTTCGGTCAGGTAGAAGGCTTCTGTGGCCTGGCCTAGGAATCTAACCATGAAAATACAGTGTTAATCTTATAGGAAATTATCCCCAAGTATCCAAAGAACCATCTGGTAAACAAAATTTTAAAAAGCAGAGCCATGGGACGCCTGGGTGGCTCAGTCAGTTAAGCGTCTTCCTTCAGCTCAGGTCATGGTCCCAGGGTCCTGGGATCAAGTCCCACATCAGGCTCCCTGCTCAGCGGGGAGCCTGCTTTTCCCTCTCCCTCAGCACTCCCCTTACTAGCTGTGGGACCTTGGGCCCAAGAGTGGAGGGTAGAAGAGTGAGTAGCCCCTGCAGTGATGGGCACATCCTTCTCCCTGGAAATTGTGGATATTAGGTTCCATGGCAAAGGGCAGTTAAGACTGCAGATGGAGGGGCGCCTGGGTGGCTTAGTGGGTTAAACCTCTGCCTTCGGCTCAGGTCATGATCCCAGGGTCCTGGAATTGAGCTCCGCATTGGGCTCTCTGCTCAGCAGGGCCTGCTTCCCCCTCTCTCTCTGCCTCCCTCTCTGCCTACTTGTGATCTCTGTCTATCAAATAAATAAAATCTTTCTTATTTTATTTATTTGACAGAGAGATAATAAAATAAGTAAATAAATAAATCAATAAAATTTTAAAAGATTTTATTTATTTGACAGAGAGATAATAAATAAAATTAAATTTAAAAAATTTTATTTATTTATATGACAGAGAGAGAGATAATAAATAAATAAAATATTTAGTTTATTTATTTGACAGACAGAAATCACAAGTAGGCAGAGAGGCAGGGAGAGAGAGAGGAGGAAGCAGGCTCCCTGCTGAGCAGAGAGCCCGATGAGGGGCTCAATTCCAGGACCCTGGGATCATGACCTGAGCCGAAGGCAGAGGTTTAACCCACTGAACCACCCAGGCGCCCCACCTGACAGTTCAATTTTAAATGTTATTTTTGTAGGAAGGTATATCCTTCTAGTGATGCAAACCCTTCAGTCTTATAATTCAGCCTTTTCTCCATTCCTCAAGGGGTAGCCAGTTACCTTTGTTTCCACAGTTTGCTTTAGTGTTCATTTTACCTTAGGTACTATTTTGTAGCTTTTCCCCTTCCCAGGGTATTGGGAAATTTGTTTTAAAATGCTGGGCAACAACAACAATAAAAGCCAGTCTAAGAAAAGTTTCGAGATAGTTTGGCCAAGTGTAGTCTTACTATTCCTAAATAAGAGGAATAAACCAGTGGAGAAGGGCCACCTTGGGAGACCGTGTGTCCGGTGGCATCTCCACCCGGCCAGTAGACAGCACCACCAGGGCAGTGAACGTTCCCCGTGATGGCTGGGGCTGTGTCTCATTCACTCCCAGTTGTAGCCTCAGCACCTTTCATCACAGATGCTCAGTAGCCATTTTTTACAATGTTGAATGAAAGAGGAACATGGGCAGCCGGGCTTTGTCAGGGCAAATCAGCCCCTCTTTCCAAAGTGATTGGATGCCCAAGTTCTTGCTGACTGCCACCGCTGCTGGTGCCTCGGGAGGGAACAAGCAGTTCCCTCCTTCCAAGGGATCCCTGTTCCACAGGCTCTCGTCACTGTTGGGGACAGCAGAGATTCCCTCGCTGTCCTGAGCTGGAGGTGATGGTGACCTCCCCGGGATGCGGAGGTTCTCACCTTCTAGAGCCTAAATGGGCTGGCAGAAGTGAATGGCGATGCCTTACCTTTCAGATGTTAGCATTAGGAATAAAACAGCAGAAACAGCCTCTGTTTAAATTACTGTGTGGTTGAAGCTTGATATCACTGTTCAGGCTAAGGTTTTGGCTCATGGACTTCAAAAACTTCGTTTGTCTTCATTTGCCTTTAGGGCTTTCTGCAGATCACCTGAGAAGCTTAATCATGTGATCTTCTGTGTGCTTTCTCTTCCTACCTTCTCTCTTCTTTTTAAGCAGACCCCAGCAGAAGCAAGATAGCTTTGGAAGATGAGGCAGCCACGATGGTAAGAGCTTGAAAATTACGTTTATGAAACACCCGTCTCCTAGGTACCATCCGGGGCTCTGAGATGTTGGTAAGACTGGGAACTGCTCCCTCCTGGCCAGCAGTTTTTCCACCTTTGGCATGTGAGGTAATTGGTGGCTGTCGTCCATACTGTCAGCTGAGCCACTGGAGATCACCGAGCATTTGGTTCACGTGCCTCATTTTGTCGTTTTTAATTATTGATGACCAATGGTGTCAATATAGACGTGAGAGAATTCTGTTCTGCTTTCAGTCATGAACATCTTATTTAAGCCTGGCTTTTAGTTTGTTTGTCATTGTGGTAAACCATATATAACATAGAATTTCCCATTCTAGCCATTTTTACGCATAGGATTCAGCAGCATTAATCACATTCACAGCGTTGGGTAACCATCACCACTGTTTCTAGTACTTTCTGATTACCCTGTTACAGAAACTCTGCCCTTGTATAATAGCTCCCCATTCCTTCCTGACCTGCACTGCCACCCCAAGCTCCTGGTGACCTCCAGCCTACCTTCTGTCTCTGCTGTGTGCCCATTCCAGAGATTTCACAGGAGTGGAATCATGTGACAGGTGTCCTTTTGTGTCTGGCTTCTTTTGCTTAGCATAGGGTTTTTGTTTGTTTGCTTTTGTTTTGTTTTGCTCTGTTCTGATTTTGCTTGGCATCGTATTTTTAAGGTTCATCCATGGATAGCCCGTTATCAGACTATTTTTATCCTTTTTATGCCTAAAGAATACTTAGATCTGTATTTTGATCTTGACATTTTTTTGTTCAGGAACTTTTAGTGCCTTCCCATTATCTGGCAAACCAAGCTGACATTTTTCAGCCTGGCATTCAAGGTCCTGTTTGTCTTGCTTTGCCCTGGGCAGCTATGAGCTCTTTTTTTTTTTTTTTTAAAGATTTTATTTATTTATTTGACAGAGAGAGAGATCACAAGTAGGCAGACAGGCAGGCAGTGGGGGGAGGGAAGCAGGCTCCCTGCTAAGCAGAAAGCCCAATGCGGGACTTGATCCCAGGACCCTGAGATCATGACCTGAGCCGAAGGCAGCGGCTTAACCTACTGAGCCACCCAGGCGCCCAGCTATGAGCTCTTTGACACGAGAGCTGCGGTAATGTCCTGAGGAGAACAGCAGATCCACTTCTCAGAGCTGCCAAACCCAACTTAGTAAATCATGCCCTACTCAGGATTTGTTTTTCTTTCTTTTAATTCCAAAAGAAATTCCAAATTTAATTCCAAAAAGAAAAAATGTTGTACTAACAACAAATCATTCTATTTATGGAATGTACTAGAATTTAAACGTGTCAAATTTTTTTCGAATGGAGATATGGCTGTAAATAAATAACAGCATCCCACCATTATGTTGCTACAAATGGAATAGATCCTGCCCCTGTACTTTTTTTTTATTCTTGTGAGAATATCTTTTTTTTCCCAGCTTTGTTGAGGCATAATTTATATGCAATGAAATTTACCCTTTAGTGTAGAGTCTGATGAATTTTGAAAAATTTTTAGTGTCATATAACCACCACCATAATCAAGATCTAGAAATCCCAAGCACCCCCCACCCCCGAGAAAGCTTCCTGAGGGCCCTTTGCAGACAATCCTGACTCCTGTCCCAGATGGTCACCACTGTCGTTTTAATACCATCTACAGTGGACACATCCATGTGTTCTCGCAAAATGAAAAGAGCAAAATGTAAGCAGAATGAAGAGAGAGCTGGAAAGGAAGTCAGAGAAGGGAAGAGCTGAGGTAGGAAGAAGGTCCCAGGCAAGCCGGCAAGGTGTGATGGCGTGAGGGCAGAGCCGAGTGGCGCCGAGCCAGGAGCACTGTTTGAGGCTGCTGTGTGTAGAGCAGTGACTGCCACTGGGGATGGAACATCAGAATCCCCTCAGGGCTTTTAAAAACTGCTCATCACCACTCCCTGCCAAGATTCTGACTTCTTTGTCTGGGTGGGGGCCCTTTGCCGGGTGGGGAGAGAAGTTTGAGAACCATCGATAGAAATAAGAACAAAGTCCCAGCTAGTCTACTGTTTATTTATTCATTCAACAAGTCATTGAGAACCCACATGCTGGAAACTGTTGAGGAATAGGAGATGTATTCTCAAAATATATGCAGATTTAGCAGCGTCTAGACAGTGTGTTACTCCTTTATTTCATGAAATCAGGAGCTTAGATAATTTGGAAAAATACCAAATTAAGTGGGAACATTTTAAAGATTTTATTTATTTATTTTTAGAGTGGGGGGGTACGCAGAGGGAGAGGAGGATGAGGGAGAATCTCAAGCAGACTCCCTGTCAATTGTGGAGCCCTACATGGGGCTCGATCTCACAACCCTGAGATCATGGCCTGAGCCGAAATCAAGAGATCAAGATGTTCAACTGACTGAGCCACTCAGGTGAAGTGGGAACATTTTGACCATATATAGCAACTTTATAAAATACCCCATTTTGATATTCCAGCATAAAAAGCCCAATACAGCAAACAATATTGAAATTTTTCATTACTCATTGCTTCTGTAAAGCCCTCTCAAATGCCTGTTGTTTTATATATCCTCTTCGTATTTGCAATGGTCGATATTAATGACTAGTAATATGGGGGCCCCTGGGTGGCTCAGTCGGTTAAGTGTCTGACCTTTGATTTCAGCTCAGCTCATGATCTCAGAGTTGTGAGATTGAGCCTTGTGTCGTGCTCTGTGTCAGCACAGAGCCTGCTTGGGACTCTGTCTCTCCCTCTCCCTCTGCCCCTCACTCTCTCTTTAAAAGAAATATAATGACTAGAAATATAGATGACTTTAAATACATATATGTATGTATATATATGGTTTTTAACTTACATATAAATATGTATGACATATAACATATATAATGTATAGGATTCTGTGGTTATGTTTTTTAATTCATTAATCTTTATTTAAAATTAAGATAGCTGACTTTGCATACTTTACCTTGTTTGTAGCATTTCAAGCTTTTTTAATCTGTATTTTTAATCCCTTTTAAAGCCAGGAGAAGAACAAGATAGAAAGTATAGCCACACTGATTTAGAAAACATTAATAAAAATTCAGTTGAAAGTGCACTGGGGACATTAAATAAAGAGAAAGGTAAGTTATTCAAATTTTAATGTTGTATAAGTGAGGAACTGGGGAATATGGAAGAAATATTAATTTTCATCTTACTAGGTTATAGGTATCATAAACATGGGAAGATTTTTGTTTGCTTATCCAGTGATTTATTTAATGGTACAGGAATCCTTTATTACTCTTAAAAAAGAAGAGAATAGTGTTATTAATAAGAGCCTGTAGGAAAAGATAGTATTTGTTGTACTATCTGTCATAGAAACCATGTACAGAAATATACAGCCTCTTGGGGCTTCATTCTTATACATTGTGTAAGTATAAATATATACGTATTTTTAAAAATTCACTTTAATGATTAGCTTTACCTTTTCATTTGGAGGTTTCTTTTTCTCATCTCCTTTACTGCTTAAACTCGAAAAACATTGTGAGTAGACGTGAGTTTGGAAGAGAAAAAGACTTCTTTCTCTGTAGTTGTTCGAGTATATGTGTGCATACAGATGATAAGTAATATGCTCAGCGATACTTTTTTACATTTTAAAATCAGATAATAAATCAGTCCATCCGAGGAAACGCAGTTCACCAAGTCCTGTCAGGAGACAGTGGGAGAAAAATGTCCCCAACACAGCTCTCATGGCTCTGGAAACTGCAGCCATACTCTCCTCCAGCTTAGCAGCCGGGGATGAGAGAGGTTAGTAGTCAGATTGAATGCTGTTACTATCGAACATTTTCTTTCTTCTTCAGGTGATTGATTGATTGATTGATTGATGAGAGAGCAAGTGTGAGTGGGGGGAGGGGCAGAGGGAGTGGGAGCCAGAGAGAGTCCTAAGCAGGCTCCACTCCCAGTGTGCAGCCTCACATGGGGGGTTGATCCCACAGCCCTGAGATCATGACCTGAGTCGAAATCAAGGGTCTGATACTTAACCATGTTAGCCACCCAGGGACCCACTATAGAACATTTTCTAATGGTTGTTTAATAGGCCGGAGGTGGTTCTTGTTGTTGTTTTTAATGTCACTCTGTAGAAGATATTAGGTGTCACGTATCAGAGCAGGGCCCATGTAGGTGAGTGAAACAGATTTGAGTAGCAAGTCAGATATAATTACCTTTGCTTAAAATATGGTCTGGAAGATATATGCTGAGAATCTTTTTTACGTGGCCCTGTCACCTTTTCACAACTAGGTGGTTCTGTAATAAAGTACAGTGAAAATAACACCCGTAAGCAGTGGCTCAAAGAGACTCCAGAAACTCTGATGAACATCCTTAAGAATGCGGATCTCAGCTTGGCCTTTCAAACATACACAATATATAGACCAGGTGACTCAAACCTATCATGTACCTATGGAAACACTTTGATTTTTAAAATATTTATTTATTTATTTGTTTATTAAAGATTTTATTTATTTACTTGAGAGAGAGTGAGAGAGTTCATGAGCAGGGGGGAGGGGCCGAGGGAGAGGGAGAAGCAGGCTTCCCACTGAGCAGAGAGCCTGATGTGGGGCTTGATCCCGGGACCCTGGGATCATGACTGGAGCCAAAGGCAGACGCTTAATGACTGAGTCCCCCAGGCACCCTGATAATTCAATTACTAAGCCATCTTGCTAACTTAAGAGCTAAGACAAATTATGCCAAGTAGAGCATGTAATGCTGTGGCAAGTCTTGACCCTATTTATTGTAACAGATTTAGTTGTCTTTGTTTATTTGGTCAGTATTTATTGAGTGCTAAATATGCTGGGTTAAGACTAAAAAAAAAAAAAAGAATAAAACACAGTTCCTTCCCTGGGTGAGCCCTCAAGGAGAGAGTTTTAGAGTGATATAGATGAATTTTTAGAGGTTTTCTGATAGAGCTGCGTGCAGATGGTCTTAGGAGCCCCGGCGGAAATGGGTGCATAGAGGGATGGTGTTGAGGAAGGTTAACAGTTGTGAATTTTGTTGTAGCAATTGTAGGTCCTGGATTTTGTTTCTGGTCCCTGTTCACTGTTCAAACCTATGTCATAGCTCTAGTATGAAAGGGTTTTATAAAGATTTAGCTCACATTTTTATATTAGGTTATTGTGTGAGCAAAAATCTGAAAACAGTTGCCATCTAGAAAATTCTTTGAAAGCATGCATGCGTGTGGTCTCCATTCCCTAATTTTTTATTCCCCATCATGGGGAAAAGTTGGGGGTGGAGAGCTCAGAGGAAAAACAACTGGAAGATGACGATCCAAAGATAACTTTAATATAGTTTCTTATATTTGAACGTTTTAATTATAATTTTCTAAATTTTTCTTTTGAAGAAAGTACTGTTTTTAAATTTTATACCCACCCTGATGCTTCATGGGCCTGTTTGATGCCAGAAGTCAGGCTGTGTAATGGGGGAGGCACTACAAAAGAAATATAGCATTGTCCTCAGTGAGCCAGCAAGCTTTTGGAGGATTTTAGTCCAACATTCACTAATTATGCAACTACTGTTAAAATTGGCATAATTTTCCTCTGAAGGTTCAGAAGAATTCTTGAAGGGCCCCCTGTCTGAAGAAACAGAAGCATCAGACAGTGTGGATGGTGGTCATGATTCTGTCATTTTGGACCCAGAGAGATTGGAACCTGGACTGGATGCAGAGGACACGTATGTTGGGATATACACACATGGTGCTAGTCATTGTGTGTGAAAATCAGACCTTAATTTCAGGTTTAGCAGGAGCTGGTTATATTACTCAACATCACAAATGAATATTCATATCTCAATCTTTTGTCTGGGATCAGTAATGTATTACGGTATTATTACGGAATTCCTGAGCCTAACTGTTCAGCTTGGACTTACTGTTTTTTATTTAATATATTGGGTTTTATTGGCAAATGTTTTAGAAACATGAAAGGAGTGCTCCTTTGGAAGAGCTAACAGTTTTTTTCCTCTGGTCAGTTGCTCAAAAATGTAAATATTTTGATGGTAGTGTTCTGCTTTGAGCCACCTAAAAATACTTACTGTGCCCTGATATGGAGGCTTAGTATCAAAATTGTTTCTTCACAGGGATTTTGAGGAGGATGACGACAGGCCTGACTGGGTGTCAGAACTGAAGCGGCGAGCTGGCTGGCAAGAAGCTTCGGATGGGTGACGCCCAAGGAAGCGCTCCGTAGTCAGATCGAGTAGATGTTGAAAATGAGGAATTAATGTTTGGATAATATCAGCTCACAGGCTTTATAGTTTTCTTTGGACACAAAACGAAGAAGGGGAAACTGTGAATATTTAAAATTGTTCCTGATTAGTACCACAAGGCTTAAAAAACCTGTAACTCTCATGAGTTGTTGAACTGAAAGGAGAAGGCGTAGAAGAATGGCTCTGAACTTCAGGCTTTCAGTCAGAAAAGAAATCGGAGGCTACTGCTTCCAGTTTGTGTGATTGTGGGAAATTATTGAAGCTCTTTGAGCCCCCGTTTCCCTGACTCTAAAACGAGGTGATAATGCCTTCCTCACAGGGATGCTGACCAAAGACCATGGCGGCAGCCCTTCACATTATTTCTGCACTGTTACAATTGGTGCTTAATTGCTGTGTAACTATTTTTACATTTCTGAAAGGCTTGAGGATCTAAATAAATTTAATTGGAATATAAAAATGTTGTGCAGTTTTCCAGTAAGTCCTATTTCTGGGTGGTGGTCCATGATCTTCAATGATCTTCGCCAGTGATCCGCCATCCTTAAATACAGCCCCTGTCAGGATGCACAGAAGGGCCCAGGTCAGAACATCAGCCGTGGGAAGGTGGGGAGGGGCACTACAGATCCTGTCAGAAGTTGGCAGTCTTGTGCAGGAGAAAGAAATAGGCCAAAGGTGGGATGTACTGGAAACTAGAGAGTGCTGTGGAACTAATGGGATGCCAACTTCTGTGGGTCACCCTGACACACATGTTCTGGGTCCTGTCGTTCCATACTGGGATGCCGTCGTGAGGTGACATATTGTACTCCAGAAGAAAGAGGCTCCTCCCCGAAGATCTCGTGGAGGCAAGTGTGCAAACAGCGGAAGCCTAAGCCAGTATGAGGAATGGTGCTTGAGTGAAGAACCAGGGGAAGTAGCTGAGTCTATGGCAGGATGGTTAATAAGGGTCTCCTGGAGTATGGAATACACACATCTTGTAGATTTAAACAATTTTTTTTTTTTTATCTTCAGTTAACAAAAACTGGTATAGACCTTCACCCCACCCTCTTCATCTTCCTTGAGACATCTTGTCATCCTTTGTCTCCTCTGTTCTCTCACGGTCTCTCCATCCGTCCTTATTTTTCAGGACCTTGACATTTTTGAGGAATACCAGTTAGGCATTTTGTAGCATGTCCCTCAGTGTTTTGTGTGGTGTTTTTCTCGTGATGAGGCTGAACTCAAGGGTTTGGGGAAGAATATCATGGAGGTGAGGTGCTCTTTCCGCCACATCTCATCAGGGAGTAAGCGATTTCAACATGATTTATTACTGTTGTTGTTAACTTTGGTCACTTGGTTAAGGCAGTGTCTGCCAGGATCTCCACTGTAAAATTACCAATTTTCCATTTTCGAGCACTGGGATACAAATTTCCCAACTAGAGGACGCAGTATATATACTGTCCTAGTGCCTCTAAGTGACTCACTCACTGGGTCCAGCTCGTCCTCAGCTCTACCTCCTGAAGGGGGCTATAATCCAATGCGAAGTTATTTGTTTTGTTCCTTCAATTGGTCTAGCTTTGGCTATTGGGAGTTTTCCAGTTGCCTCTGTGTTCCTCTGACATGCCCTCATTCTTTTGTGTTTTGAGAACCTCCTTCCTTCCTGAGAACCATCCTACAAGAAGATGGTCCAGACGCATCTTCAGCTTTCTCTGTTGCAGCTCCAGAATCAGCCATTTCTCCGAGGAGCCTTGGTTCCTTTCATCGGTTTGGAAACCAGGAGCTGGGGGCTGGGTGTGTTTGTTGCTGCTGGGCTGTCAATGCTTCTAGGCCCTCTTAGCAGACAGAGTGAGGAGATCCATATATGTTTGCTATCCTGTGCACATCCACACAGCTATAGTCATTTCTGTGTCTCTCCATCTCTTTGTGTGTTGAGCCGAGGGTGAGCTCATACTGATGTCTTGGACTCTGATCTAGTACTACAGGGTTCATTCTAGCCTTTCCCTCCTTGCTTTTCTAGCTTCTCTTCTGACAGTGAGAAACCTGGCTTCAGCCATCCATTATCTACTAGATTGCTCAACTCTAGGATACAGATGTTTCCAAATTATCAACCCATACTCCTGTGAGAAACAAATTTCCTAACTAGAGTACAGAGTTCATGTACTGTTCTAGTGCCTCTAGCCTTACAATTCCAATCAAAACACCATTTTCCAGAGTTACTTAGGTTAGGTTACCCCTGCCCTTTTTTTTCTTTTTTAATCACTCTCTTTTAGTGGGGATAGCTTTAAGGATAGTTCCAGATACCCAACTTCCATAAATACTGTATTCTGTACCTCTTAGTTATCTCAAACTTTAGCATTGCTCCAGGGGATAAATATTTCCAAACCACCAAACAATGGGAACTTGAAATTGTGTATAGTTATTGAGAGACTCAATGAGTCTTGATTGGATGACAGATCATTTCACAAGTCAGTTGGCTTGCAGAATTTTGCTTTTAATAACATTCCAGGATATTTAATGGATGATTAGGAGCTAGTTTTAGTGATAGATTATTATGATTCTTGACTTAAAACCAGGCAAGAATTGAGAGACACTTTTTTTTTTTTTAAGATTTTATTTATTTTTTTGACAGAGAGATCACAAGGAGGCAGAGAGAGAGGGGAAGCAGGCTCCCTGCTGAGCAGAGAGCCTGATGTGGGGCTCAATCCCAGGACCCTGAGACCACGACCTGAGCCAAAGGCAGAGGCTTAACCCACTGAGCCACCCAGGCGCTCCCCAAGGGACACTTTTAACAAAAATTCCAATTCCTATTTATTAACTGAATGAGTTTTCCCAGTACTTAATGGCTTGAAAGAAAGAAAGGATGAAAGAAAGAATAGAAAGAAGGAGAAAGAAAGAAAAGCAAGAGAATAATTTTTGAACCTTGTCTATTCCAGCAAAAAGTGAGCATTCATCTAGTGGATACTAATTGGGAGGGGGGAAAAAAGCCCATTGACATCTTTAAGTGATAAATTTCCAATCCAATTTTACTTTTTATGTTTAATGATTATTTATGAATACAATTCATTTTTTTACCAATTTCGTACCTACTAGTACTGTTAATAATTCAATCAAGAATGAAAGAAAGCCTATGATTAGGAAATATAAATTAATTTCCACTTATATGATAGTGATCAATAAAACTTCGAAGCAGAAAAACATTAGCTATAGGGATAGTTCAAGGAGAGAAAGGAATGATGTAAACTTTGTGATTCTCAAAAGAAGAGCTTACTTAAAAAAAGAATGATGGTTGGTTTCAAATTACCGTGGTTTTTAGATTACTTTGGATATGTTTTACTCGCGTCAGTATTTATAATTGCTGGAAATTACATCCTTTTCAACTATTTAGACATGTAACGGAACGTTTTAGACAGCAGCTTGATGTGCCTTCGCAAATGGGGCATGGGAAGGCGGGGGCGGGGATCGGCGGGGGGTGGCGCCGGTTTGCAGACCACTGGATTGCGGCCAGTTTGGTAAGGCCGCCAAGTGGAGACCGGTGTCTGTCCATCTCTTGATAGTACTTGAGCCTTGCACGAAAAACTCTTCCTGTCTCAATTTAGTTCATTTAGAAAACTGGATGACCGCTAGTTTGCTGGGTTGTTGCAAAGAACAGAGATAATTTCTGCAAAGCATCTGGTACGCCGTGTGCGACAAACAGGAGCGCTGTGCTGGTGGAGTGAGAGGCACCGGAGTCCCAACCCAAGACAGCAGAAGGTGGCGCGGCCGGGTGTCCAAACTCCCTGGCCTCGGACCGCTCTTCGGGGAGGACGGTGCAGACCAGTCCTCTCTCCGCCAGCGCCCCGCGCCCCGCCCCCCTTCCGCTGCGCGGCTCCACCCCCGCCGCCCGGAAGCGCAGCGGCGGGGGGGATCCCAGATTCCCCCTCAAGGAAGCTTCTCGCCCGGCGGAGCGGGCTCAACAGGTATGCTGCGGGCGGGCCGCCCGGGATCCTGACCCCGAGCTGCCCCCAAGGCTCCGGGATCCGCGGGGAAAGGGACCGAGTCCCCGACGGGTAGACAGGGGCTGGAGGGGAACTGCCCGAAGTCCCGGGCGGCGTCGGTCTCCGTGGCAACGCGCTACACGCCGAGCTGCGGCCGGGGCGCCAGCTCTGCAGCCCAGCCAGCGGCCGCCTCGCAGAATGCCCCTAGGGTAGAAGGCTTGTCCCGAGAGCTGGAGGCTTCTACCCCCTGGTGCCGCCGGGGCGGGACGGTCGCCGTCCCTCAGTTCCCGGGCTGGAGTCCTCGTGTTCCAATTCCGCAGCCGCCTCCCTTAAAACCAGGTCCTCGGGTGTCTCCGGCCTCCCCTGGCAGCGGAGCTGGTTCCCAGACTGATGCCACCTAGTTGTCCCCTTTCCTACCATGACACAAATGATCGAAAACCTGACCGGCCTGCTCACGCAAGTTTTAAAAGTGGGCATGATGTCCTAATTGTGGTGTAAAGAGGAAATACAAGGAAACGGTTTATAATAAAGTTTGCATTTCAGTCTGCAAATGCTTGGTACGACCACAGTCGAAGAAGTAGGGAAGTAGCCAAGGGCCCGCGCCTGGGCTAGGAGGCACCTGACCTTGACGGCCGCCCACTGTTAGGTCTCCTCTCGGCTAAGGCTACCTTGAGCAGCTCAGCCAGCGGGGGCGTGATTTTCCAAACCGGTGCACCGTTCTTGGTAATATTCCAAACACAACAAAGTACAACCAAGCCTTGATTTACATGCGGTTGCATTCCTCGAAAATTCAGTGTTCAGTAAAACTGCAAAAAATATTATGTATTTACGTGTAAAATGCAGTTTGGTGCTAGCTGCAGATCGTTATAAGTAGATTTTTCCATGCACATGAATGTGTGTGGGGACTTGCTAGGGTTGTAGGGCCGCGGGATACTTCTTCATTTTCAGGACTCGCATCTCAGGACATTAGTATTCCAGGCCCCAACCACTTCTAAATGCCATAGTGCTTTTCACTTATCTGCAAGGACCAGAAAAACCTCCGCAAATTCCCAAAATGTTCCCTAGGGGGCAGCACGTCCCCGTTGAGAAGGGCCCAACTGTAAAACCGCACCAGTATTAAGGACATTCCCGATTTACAGAGGAGCCAAGACCCCGGGTGTTGTATCTTAGATTCTCAGAACAATCTTGCAAAATCAGGTATTGTTATTTCCATTTTAGTAATTAGGAGAGTGAGGTTTTGAGGGATTAAGTGACTTCCCCAGGATCACAACACTACAGTTATCAAAACTGAGTCTGAGCTCAGATTACACCAAGAAACAATGTTTCCCCTTCGTTGTTGCCTGCCATCCCAAGGGAAGTTATTTGACTTTGTCTTGGTGAGGTTGGTAGGAAAGTTTTACCAAAAGAAGTTCCTTTACACTGCAGTGGTCAGTTGTGTGACTTTGTTCACGTTTATGAAAGGTGTGCAATAAAATTTCAGTGCTCTGATTTCAGGAACCACCGTGCATTGATACCATGGATAATTATGATGTGATTAAGGTCATTGGGGAAGGTGCCTTCGGGAAAGCATTCTTGGCTAACGGGAAATCAGATGGCAAGTACTGTGTTATTAAAGAGATCGATTTTGTGAAGGTAAAGTGAAGAAGTTCACATTCCTGTTCATTTTCAGTAATATATTCAGTTGGCTTTTAATTTAGTATGAAAAAGAAAGTCATTTTTTTGCTTGTTTTTATAGTATGAACATTAAGCCTCAGTTGACTAGGGGCACCTGGGTGGCTCAGTCGGTTAAGCATCTGTGGAACTGGAACTACGTTGAGTGTAGAGATTATTTAAAAATAAAATCTTTTAAAAAATCCCTTTAGTTAAAAAAAAAAAACCAAAATGTGTGCAAAATCTACTTGACAAGTTGCACAGTGTGAGTGTACTTAATGCCCCTGAACTGTACAGTTAAAAATGATTAAAATGGTATTTATTTTATGTTCTATATATTTTACCACAGTTTTTTAATGTTGCAAAGGAAAACAAAAGACCTTCCCAAACTTACACTAAAGCTCAGGTGTAGATGGTTAGCTTTGGAGAAAATGCTTTTTCTTTTTCTTTTTTTAAAAGATTTAATTTATTTATTTAACAGAGAGAGAGAGATTACAAGCAGGCAGAGCAGCAGGCAGAGAGGGGAGGAAGCAGGCTCCCTGCCAAGCAGAGAGCCCAATGCGGGGCTCGATCCCAGGATCTTAGCGAAGGCAGAGGCTTAACCCACTGAGCCACCCAGGTGCCCTGGAGAGAATGCTTTATTCACCAGTATAGGTCCTTTCTTGTGGCCCTGTGGCATCCTACTACTAGTGTCCTGTTATTCTAATGCGCTCTCAGAGCTTCCTTCCTCGACATTGTTCTGTTTGCTTTCCTTTGTTTATCTGGCTGCTCTCTCAGGTCTGTCTGCCCTCTCACCCCTTAGATGTCCCCCACCATCTGTTCTTTGTCGACTCTCTTCTCTTTCTCTGGGCAGTCACCTCACTCTTGTCTTTCCCAGTAAGCAGACCACTCTTAAAACTCTCTCCAGCCCTGGTCCCTCCCAGCCCCCGGTTCTGCATTTTATCTGCTCTGTGTTGCACTGTGTTCCTGGCATTAGTGTCCTTGTGAGATCCAGGCTCAAAACCATGGGATCACCTGTGAGTCTTTGTCTCCCTCCACGTCCGATTACTTGCCACATACTGTTGGCTCCTTCTCTCCTCTGAGTTTGTTTTATTTGTTTGGTCAGTGCCCTGGGCTGCTTCAGTATCTTTGCCAAGGCTCTGGCTTCTATGTAGAAAATTTTTGATAATGCTCCATCCTTGTCCCCAGACCTTCACTGGGACAGAAGTCGTCAAGGAAAGATGACTGGATGCATTGTCACTTTTGAGTACATAAAAACATAAAACTTCTGAATGACAAAAAAACACCATGAATAAATTGAGAGGAAGTTGACAGAATGCCAAAATATTTGCAAGTATTGATGAAAAAGTGCTAGCCTTTTATAAATGAATAAAAAGGAAAAAACCCATAACCAAAGACGTCATCATACAAAAACTTCAAACTCATGAGTAAAGTAAGAAATATATATCAATACATACAACTTTTTGCTTATACATTTGGGAAAGATAAGAAAGAATATAAAAGTGGGGAAGTGGGCACTCTTCCTCTGATGATGGGAAGGTAGATTGGTATCACCCTGAAGGGAATTCATTAGTATGTATCAAAACCTTAGAAGGATCCATGCCCTATTTGCATTATAGGTCCACAGTATGTTGTAAAGATGAAAAAAATCCGGCCACCAAAAGTTATGTATGTACGGTGTGTGTGTGATGTTAACAGTACCCACACACACACACACGCACACGCACACTAACAGTGATTATTGCTGAGTGATAGGATTTCGCCTGCACTACTCCTCTCTGCATTTTCAAAATTTTTAACATGGAGCATATATTCTTTTTTTTTTAATTATTAACCCTCTTTTTGTTTTTTTTTACATTTTTATTTATTTATTTGAGGGAGAATGAAAGCGAGAGAGATCACAGAGGGAGAGAGAGAAGCACACTCCCCACTGACCAGGGAGTCCAGCATGGGGCTTGATCCCAGGACCCTGAGATCATGACCTGAGCTAAAGCCAGACACTTAACCGACTGATCCACTCAGACGCCCCTGAATTGTATTATTTGTGTAGGCAGAAAAAGTTATCTTCGTTTTGAAAAAGACAGGGAAAAAAGTACACATCCCAGGATCTACTTTTGGGAGCGTACTCCAAGGAAATACCCGGAGACGTACAGTCAGAAAGCAACTTAAGTGTCGAACAGTAGGGTATTGGTTACTTCATTTATAAAAAAGGAAGCGGCTCTTAGAAATCATGTTGCAGGTGAAGTGTTGAGGTGAGAAATGACACAGCTTCTGCTAATTGAGAAAACAGTGTGTGTAGAACGAGGTACTCTTGGTAAAAATATGTATTCTCTTTCTCCAGGAATATAGATACCCGTGCATGTAGTCACATACATAAAAGGAAGATGTACTCGATTGTTGTTATGTAGGTGGAATGTGGGATTGTGAGTAATTTTTGCCTTGTACTTTTATATTGTTTTACTCTTCGGATTAGTTTTCACACTCTCTCTGGTTTGTTTTCCCAAATTCCATTTCCAGCTTCCCCTCCACATACCAGCTGTCTCTGTGCTCGCCCATGGGGCTCTTTTTTCAAGAAGGTCTTTGCCTGCACGTCTCCAAGCATTAAGATCCTACTTGCTTGGGGCTGAGCTCCAGGAGACTTTCCAGGACCTTCCCACTTGAAGTAATCTCTCTCTGTGTAAACTCATAGCTTTTTTCCTGTTCTGTTGCTATGGTACTGATTGTCCTCTTCTCTGATGGGCTTTGACTGTTTTTTGTGTGTGTGTCTGTGCCTTCTCCCCTTATTAAACTGTGTGTGCTATGCATGCAGAATGCCTACCTTATTTGTCTTGGCCTTCCACACAACGCCTAATAATGCTTTGCCCCTGTAGGTAGTCAATACATTTTTATAATTTATAAATAATTCAGTGGCTAGACACTTTCAGGCCTTCTAGCTCTGTTGTTAAGATGGTACATACTTAGGAATTACAACACCATTTTAATTCTAAGGAAAGAAGAAAGTATTTTGGGAGGTGAATTTTCTATAAGGATATATATTAATTCACTTGATAGCATCTCTCCCATTCTTAGTATACATAATAAAAAGTCAACCATATTTTTCTAATATAGCACTGATTTTTTTCATCCATTTTCTCATGAACCGCCCTGGCCTCCAGGCCATCACTAAGGAGAATGTCATATTAGGCCTTGTTCTTCTTGCTTTCCCATATCTCTTTATGTTATTAAATTTGCCTAGCAACGCCTGTGTCCCCGTATTAATAGGTATTGCTTCTTTCTTTCTTCCTTTCTACCCTAATGTAGTTTTTCATTACTTCTTATCTAGAGAAATCTACATTTCCTCACATTGCCAGTGTCTCTCCATGCTGTAAACTCTAAATACAAGAACCTGAGTGGCTTATTTCTTACAGGTACCAAAAAGCTACTGTTTTCTCTCTCATCATCCTGCTGTTATCAAGCATATTCTTTTGATTCTTATTTTTTTTTTTTTATGTAAGTTCTATCCCCAGTGTGGGCCTTGAACTCCCAATCCTGAGATCAAGAGTTGTGTGCTCTAGCAATGGAGCCAGCCAGCCGCCCCTATTCTTTTGATTCTTGCCTCCAAAATGTGTTGTATACTTTCTTGATTATAAAATGGAAGTGTTCATTACACAAATTTTTGAAAAGAACTGAAGGGGAAATAAGGCCATTTAGAGGAAAATACAATCACTTGTAACCTCTCTCTTTAAACATTATGGTACATTTTTTCTCCAGGCTATTTTTATTTTTTTTTAAAGATTTTATTTCTTTATTTGACAGAGACAGTGAGAGAGGGAATACAAGGAAGGGGAGTGGGAGAGGGAGAAGCAGGCTTCCCACTGATCAGGGAGACCGATGTGGAGCTCGATCCCAAGATCCTGGGATCATGACCTAAGCTGAAGGCAGACGCTTAATGACTGAGCCACCCAGGCGCCCCTCCAGGCTATTTTTAATGCATAAATACTTTATAAGATACTGGCATGACAGGTGCCATGATAGATATACTCTTCTATAGCATCTTTTTGTACTTAGCAATATGTCGTGAATATTTTCTCAAGTCATTCAGTGTTTTTATATAGTAAAATGTTCTTTGGGGCCCCTGGCTGGCTTAGTTGGAAGCGCATGTGACTCTTGATCTTGGGGTCGTGAGTTCAAGCCCCACGTTGGGTGTAGAGATTACTAAAAAAAAGTAAATAAATAAACTTAGAAAAATATTCTCATATAATAATATTAAATGTTCCCAATAATAAAGATAATGCTTACCACTTACTGGGTGCCTATTTTACTTCTGCCATCCCATGTGATTTACATATATCAATTTATTTAATCCTTGCAACAGCCCTGAAGATCTATCTCGTGGCTCATTGTATACATAAAAGAGCTGAGGCTCAAGGATGTTAAGTTATTTGTTCAATGATGCCCAATAGCCAATAGATCTCTCTCACTCTTCTATTGCTCTTTCTGCTATAACACTTTGCCTCCCTTGATTTTTGATGACTGCATAATATGACATCAGGTTACGAAACACCAGGGGCGCCTGGGTGGCTCAGTGGGTTAAGCCTCTGCCTTTGGCTCAGGTCATGATCCCAGGGTCCTGGGATCGAGCCCTGCATCAGGCTCTCTGCTCAGCGGGGAGCCTGCTCCCCCCACTACCCTGCCTGCCTCTCTGCCTACTTGTGATCTCTGTCAAGTAAATAAATAAATACATAAAAAGAAACACCGTGATTTAACTATTTTTATATTTTCAGACACTTATGTTTAATTTTTTAGGTATGATTAAATACCATGTAATAAGAATATAAGTCACTTTTGAAAGATTTTATTTATTTATTTGAGAGAGAGACAGGGAGAGTGAGCAGGAAGGAGAGGGAGAGAGAATCTGAAGCAGCCTTCCTGCTAAGCGCAAAGCCTGACACGGGACTCGATCCCACAACCATGAGATCATGACCTGAGCCAAAACCAAGAGTCGGACACTTAACTAACTGAGCCATCCAGGCGCCCCTAAGTCATTCTCATTAAACAAACTATGTACACATGTTTACCTCTGTGTGCATTAAATAAAAACATTTAGCAATTAGCAGCAATTACTCCTAAGGAATGGGAATTAATGGAATGGGTGGGGAGGACAAGGGGCAGTTTCACTTTCATCTTGTTCACTTCTGTCTGGCTTCAAATATTTTTTAAGATCACAAGTGTATATTATGACAGTAATTAAAAAACTAATAACAAAGCATGATAATGAAGGTTTTATATGAAAACACTTGGCACGTTTCTGATTATTTTCTTTCGATAAATTTCTAGAAGAGATAATAAGCCAAAAACAGGAGCAATTTAAAGTTTCTTAGTTCATGTTGTAAAATTGCTTTCCCCCCACATTTATATACCTATACCAGAAGTATATGAGTGCCGGTTTGCTGCTTTTTGGAAAATCCTAGGTATTAACATTCTTGTCTTTGTTTATATCATAGGTGAAACGTTACATCAAACTTCATTTCAGTCTTTGTTCTTTATTTTTTAAAAAATTTATTTATTTATTTGACACAGAGAGAGAGAGAGATCACAACCAGGCAGAGAGGCAGGCAGAGAGAGATGGAGAAGCAGGCTCCCCGCTGAGCAGAGAGCCTGATGCGGGGCTCGATCCCCAGACCCTGAGATCATGACCTGAGCCAAAGGCAGAGGCTTAACCCACTGAGCCACCCAGGCACCCCAGTCTTTGCTCTTTAGATTATTGAGTGGGGTTGGATATTTTTTTCTGTTTCTCATTTTTGTTTCTTTTCTTTTTTATGAGTTGCCCATCTGTGTATTTTGCCATATTTGTGTTAGCAGGTTTGCCCTTTTTGTCTTGTTAATTTGCCAGAACTCCTTATATGTTATAAATACTGAAATATTTGCCACATCTATTGCCAGTATTTTTACCTAGCTATAAAAATACAGTCACCTACCTACGTGTGCCTTTTGGTTTTGTGTATAATGTTCTTTTGAAAAACAGTAGTTAAAGTGGTTGAGTAGCCAAGTCTGTCAATCTCGTAGGAGTAATTCAGTTACTTGTGTTTTGAAACTCACATGGAGCAGCTGTTTTTACATTTAAATTGGGGTGGAAGAGACAGAAGCTGAGATTTAAATGATTTACAGAAGGATACATAGGTAGGAGGCAGTAAAGTTGGGATTGAGAACGTTAATGTTTAAAAAATGCTTAACTCTCAGTGAGGATGAGAAGTATGGGAACTCACACATCCCGCGTGGGCTGGTGTTGAAGACCGTTACAGAAGGAGCGGGGGAGAGGAGCAGGTGACCTGCGGGGGCTGGAAAGGTGGGGCAGCCAGGCCAGAAGTCGGGTGGAGATGACCAGTCAAGCAATCGCAAAGTGTCAAGAACGAGGAAGAAGGGGTGGGAGCGAAGCGTGGCCACTGCCACTGGCACCGAAACAATCGAAAAATACTTTCAGTAGATGATCTATCGAGTAATAAGAAAATGCGTCAAATCAAAACGAGGTCCCAAGAGACCATTTTTATTTGAAAATGAAAAATGTAGTAATCTTACTACAGAATTTTACCGGCCTGGTTGAGGTGATATATGACTCTTTTTTTTTTTTAATTTCATGTGTTTCTTCTCAGCAATGGTTGCTGCTGAAACATTGCCTTTTTATAAGGAATTTCTTTGTTGCTGAGAGATAAATATTAAAATAAGTTTCCTCCAGAGGCCTAAGTAATTAACAAGGTGCCACCAAAGCAACTGAACCTTTAATACAGCAGACCTTCACCAGAGATATTTATTTTCTTGTTTACGATTATCACCGACAAATCATTGATTCGCTATAGATCATGCTGTTAATTCTAGGAATGTCATTTCCTGCCATTGAACGATCAGTTTCAGAAGTGGCATTAGAAGCCAATGAAATCTTCGAGAGTTTTAGATGATAGCAGAAAGCATGTTCTTGAAAACAAATTATTGATAACTACTTAGATTACTTTATAGACAATACTATAGATAATAGTATCTTTATACTCTGTCTCTTAATGTAATTTAGATGCCCAACCAAGAAAAAGAAGCTTCAAAGAAAGAAGTAATTCTTCTGGCCAGAATGAAGCATCCCAACATTGTAACCTTCTTCAGTTCGTTTCAAGGTTTGGCTTTCTAATATTCTTCAAGTGCTTTAATAATAAAGTGTACGCACATAGACATCTAGAAAAGATTTTTGAGAACTGTGCATAAATTCATTTTTGTAAAAGGACTCATTTTCCCATTTACTTAAATCATAATTTGAGACACTGACTTTATTTCCTTGCTAGTGAGTTTTTGTAGAAAACTTCTAAGTGCTTAATTTTTCCCTCTCCTTAGTTCTTGCTGCCTCGATAGTTAATGCTGGTGTATTAGTTTTGCTACAGTAAGAACCCCTAAGTTGTGGCCTCCCAGTAATCCACATAGATTTCTCACATTACACCCTGGCTGTGAGCGGGCGGGGTCTGAAGTCTGGGGTCCAGGTGATGGAGCAGCCAAGACAGGGAGCATGCTGAGCGAGAGAATGAGACAAGACACAGAGCCTGCCACGCGATCACTCTCAGAGCCCTGTTAGGATGTGGCCTGTTCCTCACCTTTTGTCTGAGCTCCCGTTCCTGTTGGCAAAGCAGCCATGCAGCCAGCCCGGGTCATGTGGTGACAGGGATGGTGTACTCTGCCTCTGAGAGTTCTTGCATGTGCTGGGGCAATAGGTGGGCCCCCGATCCTCTTACAGCAAACAGCCATGCTCGAGGGGAAAAACATGCCCGAACACAACATCTCTTCTGCCTCCGTCTACAGTCGGCAAAACAGGCAGAAGTTCCTGGCCTGGCGGACTTACCTTCTATGGGGAAGAGACAGGCCATAAACACGTCTCCTGTAGGTCGGGTGCATATTAGGCTGTGATGCCCTGTGTCTGCCCACAGCTCACCACGGGGCATCCCCCTTTCAACCCCTGGCACTGGGCTGGGAGCTTGAATTCCCAGGTTGTAAGTAGTTAATGGAGCAGGAATGTCTTCAATGTCTTCAAGTGCCCTCGGGGGTATACAAATCAGGAGATAAATATGCAGAGCCACTATTTTTTGAGCTTTCACACTGTGTAGAGCACTTGGTTCCTTACAAACTAAAACGACTTCGTTCAGAGCAGTTCTCTGTATGGCCGTCTTTGACTGCTGGGTATTTAAGAGAGTTCTCAGGGCTCTTGTGTGGTCTTCCTGGGACTGGAGCAGTAGACGTGAGCAGGAAGTCGAGTTGTTTTGAACAACTTCTAAGGGGCAGCCACTGAATAAATTGCCCTCCTTTCCTATTCTTGGATTCCTAACAAAGCCAAAAGACTATCTTTCTTTTCTTCATTATTTGGGTTGTTGCTTGACTCCCTCTGGCTAACGTCTACTCATGCTCAGGCCTTCTCCGAGACTGTGGTTCCCATCATGGTGCCCTCTACTGACATTGCATGACACCTCTGCCCTTGTGCGCATGCCTCTGTTTGCAGGACCAAGTCCAAATTCCTTTCAGATAGTCGCATTAAGAATTCTTCTGTCACCACTTGATCCTCCACATCCAGCGTGAGGTAGGTGCTTAATCCCCAGTTGGCTGAGTGACTACATGGTCTGAGCCCCTTTCACAGAGTAGACTATGTCTTTATGCCAAATAGACATTTGAGGACCATGGACACAGGTGCTGTTATAAAATTAGGGGTCATTTGGACCACATAAATGACCTCCACTGAGTCTGTTTATATTGTAAGCTTGAACTTTCTTAGAACAGCTTATTTTTTGTTTTTGAAGTTCAGTGCCCCTGTGTTTAGGAAAGCCAGAGCTATGGGGATACCCCTGGGTTTGCCTGGCAGGTTTTCGGGACTTGAAACCTGGAGCTTATCAAGATAAAGGCTTTGTTTACTCTCAACAGCTTGTCTCGGAACAGAAGAACCGTTGCTCTAGTTCAGCAAATGTTTGTCTGTAGAAAGCATGAACTTTTTATAAGTTTGAAGCGATGTATGAAAAACAGGGCATGTAGTGAGATTTTCCTAAAGCTAAATTGATTCCACTTAAATTCCTTCAATAAATATTTATCAAGTCCTCTTACATGCTGGGTGTGTCCTGGGTTTCATCAGTGAACACAGGAGGCAGAAGCTCTCCCTGCACTGTTGTTTTCTGTTGCTGCGTAACAAACCATCACAAATTCAATGGCTCCAACCAACATCCATTTATCCTCTCCTGACCCCTCTAGATCACAGGTCTGGGTGTGGCTTAGCTGGATTCTCTGCTCAGGGCCCCACAGCTGGGTCTGCTCTCTCCATGGAGGTGCAGAGTGCCCTGCCCTGCTTACTTACATTGTTGGCAGAACTCGTCTACTAGGATCGTAAGAATGAGGGGTCTGCTTTCTTGCTAGCTGTTCACTGGGAGTGGTTATGGCCTTCTGGACGCCAACTGCCCTTCCATGCCCTATGGCCCTTTCAGTAGGCCTTCTTCCACTTGCAATCTCTCTCTTCCTCTGTCTCTGACCTCTAGACCTAGATCTCGATGGCTCTGGTGATTAGGTCAAGGCCCCCAGGTAAAATCTCCCATTTTATGAACTCAAAGTCAACTGACTTCAGCGATATCAGCAAAATCCCCTCTGCTGTATGTCGTGACATGACATCATCACGGGAGTGATAGCCCATTGTATCTACAGGTCCTACCCGCACTCCCAGGGAGGGAGCCCACACCGTGTATGCACTGGGGCTGTGGGTGGGGAGAGACAGACAATAAATGGAGGCATAACCAAGAACCACATTGTAGAGTATGTTAGAAGGTAGTAAATGCTGAGGCAACATAAAAGGGTGGGGCAGGAGTACAGAAACAATTTCCAGCAGGGTGGTCATTCGAGGAAAGACTGGAAGATCCACGCTCAGCTTTGCTGATGAACTTTCTGGGCCAGAGGACCAGCCACTGCAATGGCATGAGGACAAGAGCAGGCCTGGTAGGTTAAAGCACTGGCCAGGAGGCCTTTGGGAAGGGCTGTCTGCCATGGGCCCTGAGCATCTCTGCACATCTCTGCCGAACGTGCCAGGAGTGCGAAGTCCTGACTGCTGTCTCCCCAGGCTGTATCTCCAGATTGGGTTTGTGGTGAGGGACACTGAAAGGCAAGACATCTCCAAGGCAGAGCTGGCCTATTTGCTGCTCACTGGAAAGCGGCAGCTTCCTCCAGCTCAGGTTCCTCTCCTGTCACGTTGCCCATGGCAGGTGCACACGTCCGTCTAGGCTCATGTGTTTTACCTCCGTGGGATGAGTGCTAACGTGAAGCTCTGACACCTGCTTTTGCCAAGAGTAATAAAGTCCTTGGCCACTGGCCCAGGAGTCACATATCCTAGCATCCATGAAATAGTCAGAGGCTTGTAAGTGGGGGAGAGACACAGAGCCTTGTGGGATGTCCTTGTGAGTACAGTGCAATGGGCAAGAGAGAAGAGCAGAAGTACCTTCATTCTCTTTTTTTTTTTTTTTTAAGATTTTGTTTATTTATTTGACAGAGAGAGATCACAAGTAAATGGAGAGGGAGGCAGAGAGAGAGAGGGAAGCAGGCTCCCTGCTGAGCAGAGAGCCCGATTCGGGACCCGATCCCAGGACCCTGAGATCATGACCCGAGCCGAAGGCAGTGGCTTAACCCACTGAGCCACCCAGGCGCCCCAATACCTTCATTCTTGATGCTGACTCTGTGTCCCTCCTTGATTTGGGGCGCTAAAATGCTCTTATTTTATGGAATGATGGTGGTAGTGGGTGATACTTCATCAAATCTAGAGGCCATTGGTTACCAGATGCGCCATTACATGCTAATTCCGAGGAACAATACTGCCAACTTGACAAAACAATGTTCTTCCTTAACCCAATTTTTATTTTCTATGTATTAAAAGAGCTTTTTAAGACGTATTTACTATTCTTCTTGTACATACATAAAAAGGAAACTACAGGCGAATTAAATTGGTTAAGGGGTTCTAAAAATTATTCAAGCAGTGGTAACATCAAGACTGCTGGGTCCACAGCAACCAATTGAAAGATGCCAATGTCTGTAAGATGCCATCCTGATTTTTACAAAGTGCACTTAAGAATGAATTAATTACAATATTAATTAATTAATTTTTGCATGTTGGAATTTGACCGTAGAAAGGTTGGTTAATGTTAGTCCCTACTATGAGTGCCCCTTGGTAGTTTAGAAAGGTTAATGACCAGTGAGCTTCGTAATTCCAGAAGTTGCTGCCCTACAATGTGTCTTGCACTTCTTTTTTTAGAGCATCCTTTTCCTCCTTTCTGCATTTTCAAATATTATACATGCTTTAAGACCAAACACAGATCTGTCCCTTAATGAAAAGTGACCTCTCTCACTTCTGCTCTGAGAACCTCCAAACTTGTACTCACATGGCACATAATATGCTATATTATAATGCTAGTGTATAATCTTCATTTCCATCTGTGAGACTGGAGGCCATGAGGACAATAATTGTTTCTTATACCTCTTCCCCCTTCCCCTACAGTGCTTACTTTGCTTAAATAGATGGAGAATTTGAGAATATAAATGGTCTTTCCAGAAAGTTCTAAGCCCATCGCATACGAAATTAATGGTGGCTAGTGGGGGGGGGGGATATGCGTATTTAGAGGCAAATGATACTCATTGACCCAAATAGTTTCTTCAAGATGGCTCCGCCATGATTAATCCTGAAGCAGCCACTTAACTTCTGTCACAGAAAGCCAGTGTAAGGCAGAGTGAGTTGAAGGTTGGTGGCAAGGAAGTAAAATGGAACCCTTTCTCCTTAGTTTTCCTGATTTCAGCAGTCCCACTGCCATTCCTTCATCGCTGAAGTGGCCCTCTCAAGGACTAAGCTATGAGAAATAGCAGTTCTCCTAAAACTCATGCATTCCTAAAGATAATTTACCCCCTAAATAATTAGGGCATGTCCGGAAACACCTTCTTAAAACCTTCCTGGACTCTCCATGTCTGTCGTTCACTGTCTCGTCCTCATTGCCATCTAAGCCACAGACCTCTGCGGTGGCTCTTCTCACCTATGCTGACCGACTCCCCAACTAAACGGTCGCCTCCTCATGCAGGAAGGATAGCTTGTTTGCTTTTTATTCCCAGCACCTCATTCCTTGGCATGTCCTCAATAACGGTCTGTTGATGAATGAATGGATCTGTCCCCTTTAAGGAGGTGGGAGTCGAAGTGTTCTGTGAGAGGAGCCCTGAGTTTGTGAATTAGCCACAGCAGAGGGCAGACGCCATCAGGGTGCTCACAGCCTCCGGAGCTGGTTTAAGCTCCTTGAAAGAGAGAGGGAGCAAATGATAGCTCTTTGGCAAGAGATTCTGAAATTTAGTGGATACTCAACAACACGAGGCAAAACACGAGGAGGATTAATACTTGTTTTTAAGCCAGATTTTATGCCATTTTTTGTTGTGTTTCTTAGATGGTTTTATGAAACCACTTAACTGCCCTTCCTAAAGCCCCTTCCAGGTGGCAGTTCCCATGCCAGGTGCAGGGAAGACAAAAGAACAAAGTGGGGACTCTGTCTGCAGGGAACCCACAGAGGAGTGGGAGAAACGAGCAACAGAGGAGCCCTTTCCAGCAGGAGTCCAGCTGGCAGTTGGCTGGTTCTGGGGAAAAACTGGTTGAGCAGGAAATTGCACACACATATTTATTTTCATCTATAAATGCACAACCATTTGCCAAAGTTTTGATAGAAGACCAAGGCCTCATCTTTGATGATGAACACGTGGAATAGACTTCTGAAGACTCCTTCTTGGGCAGGCTACTCCCCTCGTTTCTGGCTTCCCATTTACTTTCCTTAGAGTGGAGTCAGAATTTACAGACAGTCTGGGTGCACAGTCTTTTTAAAGCTTTGTCAGTTATTTTCCACTTGTCTTACCCAACATGTAGGTCGAAGACACCCCTCTCTTTTTTATTTATTTATTTATTTATTTATTTATTTATTTTTTAAAGATTTTATTTATTTGTCAGAGAGAGTGAGCACAGGCAGACTAAGTGGCAGGCAGAGGCAGAGGGAGAAGCAGGCTCCCTGCTGAGCAAGGAGCCTGATGTGGGACTCGATCCCAGGATGCCGGGATCATGACCTGAGCCGAAAGCAGCCGCTTAACCAACTGAGCCACCCAGGCGTCCCCTCTTTTTTATTTTTAAAGCTACTTTCTTTTACTGAGTTCTCCACAGTAGTCAACATAGGTTTTGTAGAAATAACCACATCTGTCTTTTTTCCATTCATTTTTCATTAGTTTGTGCAATAATGGCAATAACAAGTGTAATTGGCTGAACAGATTTGGGGATGGACACCATGATCTTGGTGACAATTCATGGGAACAGAGGTACCTGAGTGTGCGGGAGAGTCTAGTAGGCTCCAGGGGTACCCCTGAGTGGGCAGCAGGAATGGTAATGACTCCAAAAAGTAGGTCAGGGAGAGGTTAGTTTAGAAGAGTGTCCATTGTGCTCAACAACATAGTTGAGTAAGTGCCATATAAATAAAAGATTACACCCAAGTTCAAAGGTCTATTAATGCTTCCTGGGGTTTGGGTTAAGATTCATGGCTGCCGTGTAACAGAAGATTTCTCATCTCCGGGAGGAATGTGTTCATAATTGTTGTTAACATTTATGGAACTCTCATTATATGCAGGCATTGTTGTGAGTCTCTGACACGGATTAACTCATTTAACCTTTGCGACAATCCTTAGAGGAGTTTCCATATTATTACCGCCACCTTACAGATGAGATTATGAGGCACAGAGAAATTTAAATAACTTGCCCAGAGTCAGAGAGCTAAGAATGTTAAGTGGCGAAGTGGGCCGAGAATCCAGTCCATGATTCTGCAGCCAGTGTTTTTAACTGTCGTATAATGCATTTTTCTGTATATTCTCCACTTTTTTTTTTTTTTTTATATTCTCCACTTTTGAGAGCACGAAAGGTAATGATGCCTTTTCTTACAGAGAACAACAGGTTGTTCATTGTGATGGAGTACTGTGACGGAGGGGATCTCATGAGAAGGATCCGTAGACAACGGGGAGTGTTATTTAGTGAAGATCAGGTAAAAATGCCTCCAGTTTGCCTTTTAATTTGTACCGGGGGGAATTAAATTCATAATGCCACAAGTACGAGGACGTGTATATATACAGCATGATTTCTGGCAGAGAAATTCAAACGTACAGTAGGGGATCAATATTGTTGATAGATTTAGTCCAGAACAGATCTGCAATTGAACTGAAATTGAATCTCTTTTTGAGAGTGAACCTTGCAAAGAAGATAGTGTTGTATTTTGGGGCAATCTCAAGTAGGATGCCCTTGAGATCAGTCTTCATGGCTAAAAAATTGTGAATGTGGATATTCCTCAGCCATTTTAAATGTGACATATTTATAGCTTCACTCTTCTTCCTTTTACCATTTAGTACGTTGTTATAAAATAGCTATCCCACTTTGCTAGGGAGCATAGAGGCCCTTCGTGGCAATGGCTATTTAGTTTCATTGATTATGAAGAGAGAGGAGAGAAAGGCCAAGAATAATGGCCTCGATTCCCATTCTCTCTTCACACAAACACATTTTTCTTCCACCCTCTGAGCGTCCTTTGGAACCCTCTTGGGAGCTGTGCCTGTGAAGGACACAGCAGGAATGTGTGTGTGTGGAAGGGAATCTGAATGGGGCCTGTGTGACAGGTGGGGCAGGCCGCTGCCTGGAGCAGCGCTCAGGAATGGCCCACCGCCATCTTTTGGCAGTTTGTTTCTGTGTCCTATTTTACTATTGAAAGACCTCATGCCTCTATCATTTCCTCCTAGAGCTAAAATGGAATAGTTTGAATGTACACATTTATCCCTAAAACTTTGTAAATTTGATCAACCATCCTTCCTATGCTCCTTCACATTATATATTAAATTCAGTATTTGTAGAAACCGTCCTTTCTTCCCCTCTAGGGATTATTTTGCCACATTTTTTTAAAAGTCTGCTTTTCTTTTCTTTCCTTTCCTTTCCTTTTTTTTAAGATTTTTATTTATTTATTTGACACACACAGAGAGGGAGAGATCACAAGTAGGCAGAGAGGCAGGCAGAGAGAGGGGGAAGCAGGCCCTGCTGAGCAGAGAGCCCGATGAGGGGCTCGATCCCAGGACCCTGGGATTATGACGTGAGCCGGAGGCAGAGGCTTTAACCCACTGAGCCATCCAGGTGCCCCTATTTTGCCACATTTAATAAAAACGCTCTTCACCACAAAATTTTGAATTACATTTCCCTTTGTTGGAAAAGAGCTAAAATTACAACTGAATCTTAGCATCTGGAGTATGGCTATTTTTTGCTTTTGTTGTCCCTTTTTTTGTGGAATCTGGTGGACAAGGAACCAATGACATTTTGGAAGTTTAAAGAATTCTTTATAAGCATAGAACACATTTTTAAAAAGAGGCTCATGGCCAGTTAAGATAAAATAAAATCATGACTAAGAAATGAAATTAAGTTCCAAAAATTTCAAAAGTAAAATACTTGTTTTTATATTATATACACATATATTGATAGTTCATTGAAAATTTTAATAAAGTCACAGATTCTCTGCTTACTCTTTCCCTCTCTGCCTTGGCAACCCCTTTCCATGGAATAGGAAACACCAATGGCACCAGGGTTATCAGGAAATGCTGCTTATCTGCTATCCTGATGGAGTCAGCAAACCAGTGTTAGAGAAAAAAAAAGCACAACTGACTCCCTCTTTCCTGTGCTTCTACGTCTCTTTTCTGTATGTGGAGTTCCCTTTGTTACCTGCACATTTAGATTGCCTTTGTGCACCTTCATTTTTTTTCTATAAAAAGAGAATTGTGTGATTAGATGATATATCTAAGATAGTTTCATTCACATAAATACATACACATAAATATGTTATTTCTCTCTTTTTGCATATTTTCATGAAGACATTTCAATGACCACCAGACTACTGATTGGCTTTGTTTTATGTTCCCTCTACAGATTCTGAGTTGGTTTGTACAGATTTCTCTAGGACTAAAATATATTCATGACAGGAAGATCTTACATAGAGACATAAAAGCTCAGGTAACAGCTTGGAGAGATCAAGACAGAACTGATCTTTCGTTTTCTTGAAATATCTCCAACAACATAGCATTTTCTCCATTTATAGAACATTTTTCTTTGCAAGAGTGGAATGGTTGCAAAGCTTGGGGACTTTGGTATAGCAAGAGTTCTGAACAAGTAAGTATTTTTTAAAAATCATTTTCTATTTATAACAGCCAAAATATGTATTTTTAGGTTATCATGAATTAAGATATTTAAAGTTTGGTTTCCAGATAATTTTAGAGAGCTATTTATATAAATTCACTAAATCATTCATTCATATGATGTTTTGCCTACGATTAAAATTTCCAAGATTAATCTTGGGATAATAGAAAGATAGTGGCAATGTTTTATAGTATGATATAAGTTTATCAAATGAGTTGTGACTGCATATGCGTAAAGCTGGTGAGAATTGAGTGCAACAGGCCAATTCGCACATGCTCTGGGCAATATATTGATGCAACTATTTTGGAAGACATTTTGGTGGTAATAAACATCAAGAGTTTTTTAAATGTTCTCTTTGTTCTAAAGGAATAGTTTGATATTTGGACTAATTTAAATGCCTAATAATTGGGAAATGGGTAAATTTTATAAAGCTTGGCACAAGCATGTACCTGAATGTTACATGGCCACTCACATTTATGATTTTGAAGACTTCTTGATAATGTGAGAACAAACTTTGTTATATTAAGACAAAAATGGAATTCTGAATTTTAAATACTCTGTGATCACACCTATATGGAAAATATGCATGGAAAAAAAAACAAGAAGGAAATATATCCAAATTTTAATAATAACTATTTTGGGATAGTAAGATTCTAGGTAATTTTTTTCTTCTTTATTCACTCCCATATTTTCCAAATTTTTAGTCATGTCTGCATTACTTTGGTAATTGGAAAGGGGGACCTCTTTCCACATCTATCAATCGTATTTCTTTGTGAAGCCTTTAACCATAAATATTTTTTTATGTGTAGATGTTGAGCTGGTGAAGTATAAGTTTAAAAATCAATTTATTTTACTACTCTGTTATTAATATGCAATATGTTGGCTTTATTTTAATATGTACATTCATCAAATTTTGTGTTACCCATTTTTATACTTTCTTCTTGCATGTCTGTGTCTTAAGCCTTTTCTTACTCCAATAACAAACCATGTTATTTTATTATTTAACATAACTTACTAGTTCCATGGAACTCGCTAGAACTTGTGTTGGAACACCATACTACCTATCCCCAGAGATCTGTCAGAATAAACCCTACAACAATAAAACGTGAGTTGCCGATGATTGGTTTGAAAGTCTCAATAAAGCGGGCGGATTCTTTCTCATGGTACTTTCATAATTTCATTTCCTTCACATGTGAAATGGGGATCGCAGTGACTGTCTCCAACCACCTCAGTGTCCCCTGAAGCTTTTGAACATATTTAGAAGAAAGACATTTCATCTGAAGACACAAGTGATAAAAAGACTAACATTGAAAATTGCAGTCTCTGTGATGTGCATCTGTTTGATTTTTCATACCTTCCAAACACTGTTTAGCCTAACACAGGAAAGTGTTGTGGAGGGGTCAGGGAGAAAGCAATGAGAGTACTGGATTAGGAGCTAGGAGCCTTGGCCCTGTCACCATGTTGACCCCGTCGATTGACCTCTGTAGGTCTCAGTTCCCCTAGCTGTTAGTTAGGCAATTGTTAAGGTATTTCCAGCTTTAAAACCCAACTAGTTTTGTGTATGAGATACCAGAGCCTACCATTCCGGAATAATATTAATATACACAATAGTAAAAGGTGAACATGAGGTAGTTTTTATTTCCATATAAGGAGATGCAGAAAAAAAATCACTTTTCAAAGCTGCCGGTTGAACTAGTTGGTTTAGCAGGAAGACTGAATTCCTTCTAGGGGTTAATTTTGCATTTGTTTTGGAAAGTACTCAAGGGAAGTTTGGCTGTTTGACTTTGCAAGAGATAAGTGGAGGGCAGAGCCCAGATGGTAGAGATTTCTAAAAAGAGTAGAAAATATTTCTCTGCATAATAGAAAAACAAGCTTTTTTTTTTTTTTTTTTGTTTTTTTTTTTTTTTTTTTTTTTTTTTTTTTTTTTTTTTTTTCCCCTGGAATAGCCTAGAATAATACCAAGAAGGGGTTTGGCCTCCAGTTGGGCAGGAATGCAGCTAGTATAGCCTGGGTGGAAAGGGGGACTGTCCAGAGAACACCCTGGATCATTTGCATTGTTTTGTACTGCTTTTTACAATACTTGAGTCAACATTTTAATATGCTGACTTGGTGCTTTTGTTAATTGGAAGACCTTAGCAATAATCAGCTGGGTAGCTGCTGCCCCGTGGATCAGGAAACCAGTCCCTGGCTCACCGTAGCCCCCACCACACGTAGGGCATAGGAGACTTGTAGAAGTTTCCACCTAGTGCCAGAGTGGCTGTATTCCCCGCTGGACCACACTGGCTGGTATAGAGGGCGCTCTGGGACAGGGGAGGGTGTGGGCCTAGGGAAGACCCGGTGATTATAAAATTCTGTGTGGTCGTGGGAAGTAGTCTGTGAGTTTCTAGAAACTCTTAGGAAAACACTAGAAAGCAGTTGGAAATTGTTTCCTACCTATTCTGTAATAGCTCTTCATTTCCTCAAGCCTTCAGGATGTCTCCCTCTGCTCCTGCCTACACTCAGAGGAAATGTGGCTAAACAGAGGTGCCGTTTTCCTCACTTTACAGAATCCTTGTTTTCATTGTTTCATTTCTCACTGTATTTTCTTTGGTTTTTTAGATTTAATGATGCCTTTTTTATAAGATAACTCCTTATTACACCAATCACATAAAAGCACTAAATACTGAAGAGCAAGCCTCTGGTCATATGTTACAAGCACAATTTTCAATTTATTGAGTGCCAGATACTATGTTGTCTCTCTCTTTTTTTTTTTTTTAAATAAACATATAATGTATTATTAGCCCCAGGGATACAGGTCTGTGAATCGCGAGGTTTACACACTTCACAGCACTCACCATAGCACATTCTGTCCCCAGTGTCCATAACCCCACCACCCTCTCCCTATCCTCCCTCCCTATTGCCCACCCCACCCCCCAACTGTCAGTTTGTTTTGTGAGATTAAGAGTCTTTTATTGTTTGTCACTATGTTGTCTCTTAATAGAGCTTTGGTTCTGTCAGTGGCTTTAAGAAGAATATACCTTCCTAAATCAACCAAATTTTACCCTTTGAATCAAAACAAATCCATGTTTGAGTCTTGCTAGCTTCCTCCAAATTGTTCAGAATTCCTTACATACACACATTTCCTCCGAGCACATGAAGCTGAGGTAAACACTGAGCCCTCAGATTGTAGCAAAGTTAGTATATCTTTTCTCTGCTAGGATTCTCACAAACTGTGCCTTGTTTCGATGTGACCTCTTACCTTAGTAGGACAAAGAATTGAAAAAGTAAGGATAAAACCTGTAAAATTGTAAGGATACAAAAATATCAGTCACTGTAAGGATAAAGACTTTAATTGAGAATTATGGATATTTCTTGGCATGTGATCTCTTATCTTCCCCAGGGATATTTGGTCTCTTGGCTGTGTCTTATATGAGCTTTGCGCACTCAAGCATCCTGTAAGTATGTTAATCATCAGAGTAATCTTGAATTATTAAAACTATAAAAGTGAAATTAACTTTTGAGAGGGAAAAGGTTAATGTTTGGAGTTATTAGGTTGTTAAAAATCACATGGACAAGCTATTAAGATGAGTGATCAATCCATATATACAGACATGGAAAAATGTGCAACTTGTACAGTAAAAAACCTAAGCTACACAGCATATTTTCCTTAAAAATCAACTGCACGTGAATATATAATCAGCAAAGGGAAAAGGTGCGTGGGGTGAAGTCTGTAGGAAACCAGACACAAGCTTCTAAGACCCTCTCCCAATGGAGTCACACAGGAGTCATGCTACTTTCTCCAGCAACAAGTAGTGACAGCACGTGTGAAAGGTTCGCACCCAGGGAAGCTCCTTAGAGACCCAGTGCTCAGGGTTTTGATGTGGAACTGGTCATGGAGGTACCCTATGCCTGGCAGGTACCACGCTTCCAGACTCCCAGGAAGAAGTGGGTGTTTAGCATCAACCATATTGTTTGCACCATCAGTGTAGGCAAAGAGAGCCACTCTGAACACTGAGGGAGCAGTGGGAACTCTCCAGAAATGTGAGTTCCCAGAAGCCAGCCAAGGGCCAATGTGGTAAGGAGGCCTGTCTTTTTTTTTTTTTCTTCCTTTTCTTTTTTTTTTTTTTTTTAAGATTTTTTTTATTCTTTTGACACAGAGAGAGAGAGATCACAAGTAGGCAGAGAGACAGGCAGAGAGAGGGGGGGAAGCAGGCTCCCCACTGAGCAGAGAGCCAATGCGGGGCTCAATCCCAGGACCCCAAGATCATGACCTGAGCCGAAGGCAGAGGCTTAACCCACTGAGTCACCCAGGCACCCCAGGGGGGCCTTTCTAAGGAAAGCAGTCTTAAACCTGCTGTGTGAACACTTTCTACACAGCTGTTATTATTGTTATTTATTATTACTACTATTATTATTGTCAAAGGTCAGACAGCTAGTAATAGCCTGATTAAACCTGATCTTTATTGTGTCATCGAACGTTATGCTTATGTGTAAACCCATGGCCTCATACAATGGAAGATTCTCTGGTTAACGAAGAATTTTTTTTTTTTAAAGAAAGATCAGAAAGTAGTTTAACTTTTTTAAAAAAGATTTTATTTATTTATTTGACAGGCAGAGCAGCAGGCAGAGAGAGGGGGAAGCAGGCTCCCTGCTGAGCAGAGAGCCCGATGTGAGGCTTGATTCCAGGACCCTGGGATCATGACCGGAGCTGAAGGCAGAGGCTTTAACCCACTGAGCCACCCAGGTGTCCCTGGTTAATGAAGAATTTTTGAGGAAATGTTTTTGCTTTGTTAATTTAGAAAGCAAGGTGTAAACTTTCATATTGTTATGACTTCAACTCTGTAAAGTAAACATTATTTTACTTTTTTCAAAATGTAAGCTCTGTGCCCAATGTGGGGTTTGAACTCACAACCCTGAGATCAAGCGTCACATGCTCTCTGCACTGAGCCAACCAGGCACCCCAGTAAACATTGTTTTAAAAGACTAGAAGGAAATATATCCTTGGCTGACAAAATTATACATATTTGCCCTGTCTGTAGCTTCCTCTTGCTTCCAGTTTTTCATAATGAATAAATATTATTTTGATAAGAAAAAATTAAAACTAAGAAAAGCTTGTTTTATATAACATGGCATCACATTGTGTAACTGCCTATAATATCTACTCATCAAATATTAGTTGATGAAAACCATTTAGGGTGGACCATAGTACTTCTAACTAAAGCCTTATAATGTATTTCGGTTTCGCTTTGTTTTAAGATTCAATGTCCACTTTTTTAATTTATAAAGTCCAGCTTGAGCAAAAGCAAAAGGATTGCTTCCCCAGGGTCCCTCAGCTGGATCAGGGAAGGGTGGTCAGTATGAGCCCCCCCACCCCAGTCCTGGGTGCAGGAATCTGAGGGTGACAGGCACAGACCCCCACCCCCAGTGCAGGGGTGTGTTTCTGCCACAGGCCTGCCTGCGTGGGGGCCCTTCTGTTGAGCACCGGCTGGAAACATTGTTTTGTTCCTTGATATTACTTTACAAACTAGTATTCAACATTTTCTCTGATTTAGTATCACCGTTCCTTGTCCTTTCAGTTTGAGGGTCACAACTTACACCAGTTGGTTCTGAAGATTTGTCAAGCGCATTTTGCCCCGATACCCACAACGTTCTCCCGTGACCTGCAAGCCTTGATATCTCAACTCTTTGAAGTATCTCCCCGAGATCGGCCGTCTATTAATTCCATTTTGAAAAGGCCCTTTTTAGAGAACCTTATTGCCAAATACTTGACTCCCGAGGTGAGCTTGGAGATGATTCCGTGTGGATTTTGGCAGAGATTTTGGTTAGCAGGTCCTTGACACATGTGTTCCATCTTAGGTCATTCGGGAGGACTTTAGCCACAGCCTCACACATAAAGCAAGACGGTTGGCTTCTCAACCTGCACGGAAGGAGGTCCAAGGTAAGAACGATTTGACCACCTGATCAAAAATCATTTCTTACGTGTGTCACACACGGTGAGTTTTAATATATGGCTGACAACATTAGCAGGGAAATTCCACTAAATACACTGAACATGGACATTTAAAATATATGTGCAATGTTGGGGTGCCTGGGTGGCTCAGTCGGTTAAGCATCCAACTTTTGATCTCAGCTCAGGTCTTGATCCCAGTCATGAGTTCAAGCCCAGCCTTGGGCTCCACACTGGGTGTAGAGCCTGCTTTAAAAAAGAAAAATTATATATATGTATACACACACACACACACACACACACACACACACACATTTTTCTTATATATATATATGACAGTTTTTTTCATATATCTATTTTTTCCTATATATTTTTCTTATATATATTTTTCATATTTAAATAAGTATATGTAGTATTCACTAAGTATATATATATTCAGTAAATATATTGAATACTATTGAATACTATTCAGTAATACTGAATACTATTCAATAAATATATATAGTATTTCAATAAGTCTAGCTGAGAGAGTATTTCATATATATATACATATATATATATGAAAAATCATCCTTTCGAATGGTGACTAGTGTGTCTGCCTGTATATCTAGTTCACATCTGCTCTGAATGACTCCTATCCTCTCTTCCATTAGTCAGGAAACTTCAGGAAGCAGTGGATTTACTAATGAAGATACTTGACAAGGTAGAATCCTAACTTAACTTTTGTGTAGGGAAGAGACAGAGAGTTGGAGAAGGTTCACAGACAGACCCGGGATGATGAGATGAAGCTAATTTTTTACAGGGAGGAGGGACTGGTGGTTCAGAGTTCTCCTGCAAAGGCCTCATGGAGCTGCAGTTAGTATCTCGGACCTAATCGGTGACTGTGATCACTATTTTAGGGCCCCTGAGCGAAGCAGGGGATACTTTAATGATCAATAGAGAAGCAGTTTTAGTGGCGTGTTCAGGATCAGCTGATGACATGCCCCATGCATGTGTGTGCATGTGAGAGACACAGTAAAGAAGACAAATTACTAATTCCACTGATATTGTGAAATAAGTGCAGCGTGGACTTAGTCATAAGCCAATATCTGAACTGAAAGGATGAGGAGGAGTAGAACATCTCTCCAGGAAGGCAGTGACAGGGAAATCTATCTACTGTCATAGAGACACTAGGCTTGAGGTAAGTCGTCAAGGGAAGAAGAGCGACTGAGTCCCTCTGCCATGTGTGATTTGGTTTGCTGTTGTTATACATGGGTTTAGATTGAGAATGTTTCAAAGTAGGTAAGTAGAGGGTGAGAGAAGGCACACTGTCCACATTTCTAACAGAGGAAGAAAAGGAAAACAGGAACAAAGCCTGATGGTGGCAAACACAGAGATGTACTTCATGGGGGCACCTGCATGGCGCAGTCAGTGAAGCATCCAGCTCTTGATTTTGGCTCAGGTCATGATCTCAGAGTCCTGAGATCAAGGCCTGGGTGGGGCTTGGCACTCAGCAGGGAGTCTACTTAAGATTCTCTCTCTCTCCCTCTCAAAAAAAAAAAAAAAAAATCCTGCTCACACATTTCACACAAGAGTGTGGTGTGAGCGACATGGCCGGTAGCCCAAGCAATGATGACTACATGTAATTACTTATGCCATTATCCAATGCATCCTTTTTCTGTAAATGTTAGCGTTAACCCCTAATTTTTTGAAAGCGCTGTTAAATATACTAGAAATATGTGAGGGAACCCTGGATAAAATGGTTTTCTCCATTAAAAGACAATGCAGACTAGTTTTCCATATGGACTTCTCTCATTGGGTCTAAACATCTCATGCTAAAGCGACCTTCCTGGGTCATGAAAGGTCCCTTATATTCACACTCTCATGAGCACTGATGTTAAGATGTTGCCATTTTAAAGAAACTGAAGTTGGTTTGTTTTTTTTTTTTTGGTTCAATAAGATTCTATGATACAGAAAGCAAGATTCCAGGGAAAGTGTCTACCAAGATCAAGGCTATCAGAGCCATTTAAAAGGAAGGAGATATTGTATAGAAATGAAAAGAGACCCCCAGCTGGAGCTCAGAAGCCTGTATCTGTAAGTTGTACTAACCCCTTCCTCTGGTTTGTTAGCAGGTGTCATGTCCTACAGACTTACATGCACATGTTCCTAGGATACAAGTCCATTGCTTTGGAGAACACTTGTTTTGTCCTTATGATCAAAATCATTGTGCACTGAGCATTAAAGGGGTACTCCATTGGATAACTCCTAGTTGTATTTCCTTGGAAGTATCCTATGTTCTAGTTTTAGTTTTCCTACAACTCAAAACCTTTTGATTTCTTTAAAGAAATAAGGTTTTTCTAAATAGAATAAGTGAGTCACATTGCAGCAGAAAACGGGCTGCATTTCATTCCCTTAATTCTAACGTGTTATATATAATTGAGAAATTTTTAGTATATAGTCAGGGTGATTTTTTTCCTAGAGATTCTCTAGGCTTAGTTATCTGAATCCACGTCAACAGATCATAGAACCTCTTAGTTCATGCTAGAGGGATGCTTCTGGTATATAAATGATAAAATGGCTATTGTCTCTTCATTGAATTGTATTTTTAAAGAAGGTTATGAATGTATGATTAGAGGGCTATTTGGAGGTATGTTAACTAAGTGTTTACTTGCTACATAGACATTTTAGAAAATGTGGAGGTGTATAGACAGATTTTGAAACTATGAGTTAAATTATTGCTCTTTGTTTGATAGACTGTGGTTTCACTTACATTAAAGAAATGTGAAAGTCAGAGAACCTGGCTGGCTCAATTGGAAGAGCATGGGAGTCTTGATCTCAGGGTTGTGAGTTCGAGCCCCAGGTTGGGTCTAAAGATTACTATAAAAATAAATAAATAAGTAAACTTAAAAAAACTTAAAAGTATGTTGTGATTTAGAATAGTCTGTAGCAGACTGGTAGGAGAGAAAAGAACACCTAAAAGATTCCAGGATGGATTAAGTTACAAGAATAAGTCTGATGTTCTCATTACCACTTGGGATTTTAAGGAAAATCCTAAAGGAGCTGTTAATTTCCTTCCAATACTTTTCTCTATTTCTAGCCATTTTCAACAATTAGTTAATAGTACCTTGTTTGGGGTTGTATATATGTAAAATTGCGAAACTAAGAAAGATACATCACACTTTAAAATATTTTAAAAAATAAATATATAATTTTTGTCTAGATTAAGAGATCAAATTTTATACATTTACTTTAATGTTTAAAGAAAACTATATGAAGTTGCCCATTTAAAAAAAAAAGATTTTATTTATTTATTTATTTATTTATTTATTTAGAGAGCACGAGCAGAAGGCGGGGAGAAGGGAGGATAGAGTGGACTCCCTGTTAAGCACAGGGATCAGATCTCAGAACTTGATGTTCTTGATCTCAGAACCCTGAGATCATGACCTGAACTTAAACCAATCTGAGTCAAATGTTTAACCGACGGAGCCACCCAGGTGCCCTGAAGGTGACATTTTTTTAACTTAAAAATGATCCAATATCTACAATTCCATAGGGTTCCTCTAACATATGTAGGAACCACACAGCATTAAAAAGAACAGAGAACATAGTGTGTTACTTCTTCACAGTGAGGAAACCTCAGGTTAAACCGTTTGGTTATTTATATTTCCAGCCACCAGTTCTAGGCCTTTCCAGTGGTTTGAACTTCTTTTTTTCTTTTGTTATGTAGGCAGTTGTTCTGGCTGTTGTTGAATTGGCCCTAGTTTGCTAGTTAGCAAACAGGCTCTTGGCTGGTTTTCATCTGTTAAGTTGGTCTGGTTCTTATCTCATAACTCAGTGGCCTCACTTAACTCTGAGACAATTGTTTGTTTCTGATTCTCCTCCTGTCATTCTGTTCTGGTTGGGAAGGGTGATGAGGTGTAGCTTGGGGCCATAGCTAATATGCCATCATAGCTGTTAGATGACTTTCCGTGTGTTTACTTGGGAAGAATGACTGAATGAATCAGCATCGTCTTTCCTTCAAGTCATGATGACATCTCGTATTTAGTTCATCAGCACCTAAAAATGTTACGAATCCCCAAATTTGTGACTTGTGCAATAACATTTATTCTCCCATAAAGTACAGCAAGATGTAAAGAAGTTTACAAAAATAGAAAATAATAATGCTGAGTTTAGTTTCAGAACTTGGGTTGAGTATGCACACTTCCTGGCTAAGCATTTTTGGTAGACCAACCATGAAGTATGCAGGATTCCTCTTCACACCGTAGTAAAATTGTAAACTACTATGCTGCAGTAGGACTTGCACTTCTAAAATATTTTCCAGTTCTAGGATTTGGGGATTCTAAGATTATTTACTTTGAAAAATGAGTCTAGAGCAAAAATGACAAAAACACACAGTGCCTTGTTTTAGCTGTGGTCACTATCACACTGTTAGTTATTATGGATTTTAATTTTGTGTCTTCAAAATCTCTCCTCTTCTTTTTGATCCTTCAGATAAAAATGGTAGAAAGGCCCAAATTTGCTGCAATGCGTGGACATTATGACTATTATTATGCCCAACTTGATGTGTTGAGGAAGAGAGTGCACAAACCAATTTACCACTGTGTTCCTCAAAAAGATTCTGGAGTTGAGGAGAATTATAATCAGGAAGAAAGCCATAGTCCGTCACCAGGTCAATGGTAATGTTAGAGTCTAACTTGAACTTTGGTCCTCTGAAAATATTTTGATATATCAACATTTATTCCAAAGCCCTCCCAATTCTCCTAAAACAAATAATCCAAGAAGAACTTCCAACTCTTCATCTTGAATACCAATTCACAGTTCCCTTGACACTGTGTCATCTCAAATCTGATGTAGCTTATCTTCTTATTCATGGAGCCATTGAACCGTGAGCAGAAATTCATACTCCTGAATTTTTCCTGGTTTTTTTTCTTCCTTCTAGTAAGTTCCACCATCTGGGAGGAAGAAAATAGTGGTATATATATCATTTTCCAAAGAAATTATTAATATTAATCCATAATAATTGAATTGCAATCAAGTTATTTAAGACATATTGAAATGTGAAATATCTTTCATTCAGTATCTATTTTCTTAGGATTTTGCATTTGTGTACCAGTGTGAGGACCAGAGGTAAAGGAATGGGTGCCATCTTGCTCTCAAGGAGCTCAGAGCACAGTTTATAAAATGGACAAGCAACTGGGGTGGCGAGGCCATTGATCAGATACCTGCCCGAAGTGTGAGAAGAACCTGGCATAGGTTTTTCTTTTTCCCTCCAACACATTGTAGACCATCCTGTCTACAGAATGGACTGATCCTGTCCTGAAGGAAAAATCACCGCATCAGAATATTTTTCTGTTTGATCCTCTCCTGTATCCCCAATTGGTACAGTTCTCTTTGCTTCCTTTCTTTCTGATTCCTAAGTACGCATTCTGTAACTGTGAACTACTTCTTGAATTTGGAATTTTCAAGCCACCGGTGAACTGTGAATCTCATTAATAAATTTCACAAATAAATAAAATCCACTTCTCAAATTAGTGCCTATGACTAGTAAAAATTCCTACTCCAGCTGAACATTTTTATTTTCTAAGGCCTGCGGAATACCTTCAGAGGAAATGTGAAGCCCAACAATATAAGCTGAAAGTGGAAAAGCAGTTGGTAAGTAAAATTCCACTTCCGAGGGGCAATCAGGAATTTCCTGCTCACAAATACTCATGGGTCCTTCCTTAAGTCAAAGTGCATTCCACATAGAGGGTCAAGACCACCCTCCACCTTCTCCAGTTTTTAATAGCTAAATAGGAGTAATGGAAATGTGCTTGAATCAGGGTGTTGGAAGCCTGGTTTCTTCCCGGGCTCTATCACTTGCTGTGTGACGTTGGGCAGGTCATACGACCTCTCTGAACCTCAGTTTGCTTTTTATAAATGACAGTTTGGAAGTAGATGAGCTTCTGAGGGTCCCCTTCAGTGTTAAAATTCCTTAATTCTATTTTAGTAGAATTTCATACATTTCTTAAAGGTGACTATTGTATTTTATTTGAAATGAAATTTACCCTTTAAGTGTAGTGTCAGAGTTCTGGGGCTGAAGGAGGCCAGATGTGCATCCTATTTCTCTTTCTCTGGTTTTGGACTGCTCAAAAGCTCTAGTTCTATTCCCCTACTTAACCTGATGCCCTAGGGCAGCTCAACTTTTATAGAACTTCAATTTCACAAATTATAGTTCAGTAGTTCAGAAAATGAATAGAGGTGTCTCACATGGTAAACATGATAAACAACACAAAGGGTTTTACTAATGTTCTTTGCTTTTTAAACATGTCATACTGAAATTAAGAAAATTCTACTGCCCGCTCCCCAACAGTGAATCTGATTCACGATACAATTCTTATTTAAAGGAAAGGATCCAAGGTGAAGCGAGAAAGCATTTCTAAAAGGCCAGTATGCTTTATAAATCATTTCGTTCCATTGACAGGGTCTCCGTCCATCTTCTCCTGAACCGAATCACCACCGAAGACAAAAGCGAAGAAATGATGGAGAAGAGCCTCGATTCCAGGAGCTGCAGATCAGGAGAAACGAAGTGAAGGAACAGGTTAGAAACAGTCTGATTCCAGGTCTGCTAGGGACCCTGCACCGTTGTCTCTCACGCTGCGTGGGATATTACTCGTAGCGCTATGCCTGAGGGAGGGCCCTCTTGCACAGTCCTCGGACACACTCGTGGGAAGCTCCTTCCTGGGAGTTTCTGGGGATACAGAGATGTGGAGTTCACTTCCTCAGAGAACGCAGCAGAGCGAGGGTCATAAAGCTTTTGGCCTCGGGTTGTTAAAGTAACTGTCCACCATCACTGTCTTTGAAATTTGTATTCGTGTCCGAGGGTCGCCTTAAGAAAATTTAACAAACCAGGTGGTTTAAAACACCACAGAAAAAAAACACAGAAATGTATTGTCTCCCAGTTCTGGGGGCCAGAAGTCCAAAATGAAGGCATCAGCAGAGCCCTGTTCCCTCTGAAACCCGGAGGGGAATCATTTGCTTCTTGCCAATCTTTGACAATCCTTGGCTTGCAGCTGTGTGACTCCGCTTGCTGTCATCCCATGGCTGTCTTCCTCTAGGGACACCCGTGGTGTTGGATTAGGGTCCCATTTGACTCCAGTGTGACCACATCTTAGCTCAACTAGCTGCATTTGCAATGATAGTGTCTCCAAATAAGGTCATGTTCCGAGGTACCAGGGGTTAGGATTCCAGCATATCTTTTTTAAGGGGGGCACCAAGTTCAACCCGTGAAAGTGGAATATATAAAGGAATTGTATGTCATGGAAACATTTTGGGTTTTATATAAAAGTGAGATCACCGAAAGCCCCTGTCACTCCCAGGGAGGGAAGGACCGCAGCTGAAATGTAAGGCAGGTTATCATCTTTAGGGACACTGGGTTTTCTAATTCTTACTGTTGATCACACAGTCTTTAAATTCATAGGCTGTGTAGAGATTACTCAGCTCAGTTGTTCACCAGCATTTAAAATTTTTGGACTGGGATTATCTTCCAGGAATATTGGAAGCAGTTAGAGGAAATACGCCAACAGTACCACAACGACATGAAGGAAATTAGAAAGAAGATGGGGAGTGAACTGGAGGTGAATACATTTTTCTCCTAAAGGAAACTTGATTCTACTGACTGAGAGCTAACTAAACTTGTAATAGGAAAGCTAACATTTAATTGAAGTTTTTATCATGGCTTACTTGAGACTACCCACACTGGTGAGGACATCTGAGACTCTCATTTGGGAATGAGTATTATTAAAAATATTCATTGTCTCCCTTGTGAATCAGTCAGTGCTCACTGACAGAGCAGTTGCTTTACGCCAGAACCAGATTAGAGGCAGAGAGTAAGTCTGTGCCCATAAGGGAGGGGACAGGATGAACATTTACTGAATTCAGCTATATTGGAGAAGCCTCATATGCAGGGGTAAGGTTCAAAAGTCTGGATAATGCCACATTTGAGTGCAGTCGACTTGACTGATTCTTGAAAATTCTTTAAAGTCACCACATTGGAAACTCATTCTTCCATCTCTCAGATCACCGCTTTTCCAGTAGAGCTCCAGACGAGATAGCTGGCCTGTGTCTGTAGACCATGTTGCGTGAAAAACGCACGAATGTTTGACCATAGAAGCACCATCCTGGAACGCTCCTCCTATGAGAGGCCAGTGGTTCCGAGGCCTGCCGAGGACACGGATGGCCCCCAGCTCACATGCATGCTGTGGAATTGCCCACACCGCTGGACTTGATTTCTTTCTCCTTCTCCCCCACCCCTGAGGGCACATAGATGAATGAATATGGGTGAGGGGAGCGTAGGGAACAATTCAACTGTACGTACTTGGGCTTTGAAGCAGAGTCTTCACACACATTATCTCCTTTTACTCCCCGTGATAGGGAAGGTTAATAACTCATCCAGAGCCACTTTGATATTATGAGGTGGAGTAAATGCCTGATTCTGAAAACTCTACTTTTCTAACATACTCACTTCTACTCACAAAGAGTTGGAAAGACATGACACACACGTATGAGCGATGATTGAGTGAGAGTGAATATAATTAAGCTCTGTACGTGCCCAGGAGTAAGGATGAGCCAGAAGAGTGTTTTCATGGTCTAATCTGGCCTGAGAAGAGGAGCGGAATTTGGGGAGGCAGAGCTGAGGGGGAAGGCATTCTGCAGGAACCACGCAGAGGTCCACATGGGACTGGAGGCACTGGAGGGGGAAAGTTGGAGATGGTTCTCTCCAGAGCACAGGTTGGTTAATGGTGAGGAGCCTCAGCCTTCTTTTTAAGGCACATCTGTGATGGGAAACCCGAGTCCAGGAAGGATGGATAGCAGACTTTTCTAGAGAGAACAGGAAAGATGGATGTGGGGGATTGCCGAGGGCAGCCACAGGGGAAAGGACCCGGAAGGAGGGTGCTGTTCCAGCCACTTTCAATGATGGTGCCTGGGCAGTGGGAGGAGAGCATTTCCTCACTAGATGCCACTCAAAACTGGCCACGGTCCACAATGTGGACTTCAGAACCCAAAAAGAATTAATCCAATTGACTGTGTATATTTTGTACTTTTAGGAGGACTCAAAAATAAGTCATAAAACCTATTTAGTGAAGAAAAGCGACCTGCCCATCCACCAAGAGGCACCTGAGGAAGGAGCTTGTATGCAGGTGATGGTTATAATGAGGGGATAATGCGTTTCCCAGTGAGCTGCCTCTGGCCCAGAGGTTCTCAGCCCTCACTGTGCAGGGGAGCTGTGGGCGAGAAGGTTCTTAAAAGTTCAGATGCCTGGGCTCCAGCCCAGATGGTCTGGGGGTGGGGCCCTGGCACCCTGTTTGCAGCAGCTGGCTAGGCGATTCGGGGTGTAGCCAAGTTTGAAACCTGCTCTCGGGCGTGTATGAGAGCTCAGCATTCTGGATAGTGTTCAAGTCAGGGTCAGACACATTGGTCAGAAGTCTGATGGTTAACGTCTTTCCACTTCAACCTTGTGTTTTTGATAGGAGGAGAGAATTGGGCAGAGATGAACTATCCCATGGCTCTCCAGAAGCTTTTTGGTTTTTCCCTTCTGGGAGGTCTTTCACCTTTATCTTCAAGGTGCCACAAAGGCTTGGTGAAGGGCAGATGAGGAGGACCCACGTTGATTGATGACCAAAAGTGTCTTGCCTTGTGAAAAACCTTGGGACCTCCCATGATGTGATGCTGGGGAGCTCACAGTGGACTGAGTAGGGAGGATGGGGTTCAGGAGTCTAAGATGGTTGTATTTTAAGGAAAGTAGAGAAATAGGACACTTCTTCTACAATTGAGACAACCAGACTACACAATCCAGACAGCCAACCTCAAAAAGAAAGTAAGATACAAAATCACAGTCCTCTTTCATAGTTCAGGATCTTGCAAGGCAGAAAAATAGCCTTCCCAGGCTTGTGGGGCAAACGGGTAATAGTGAGTCAAGGCAACACATCTTGTATGTGAAGTACCTACCGACGAGGCAGCGATTACTTCTCAAGGAGAGATGATGGAGACCTTCTGTAAAATAGTGGCGAGAAGACAGCATTAAAACACACGCACGCGCACACACACACACACACCAAGGAGACTCATGCTTCTGGCTGGAGAGGGGTCATACCATTTACTAAAGACTGGGAAGAGTGGGGAGCAAGCTTGCTGTGGGGGGCAGTCAAGAGTTCCACTTCGGACATCAGTTGAGTGAGAGAAAGTCTGAGGGCTTCAAGGCCTATTCAGGGTGCCGATTTCACTGCCCCCCAGCTCAGAACACGCTTTCCCCAGACCTTCATATACGCACGGTACAACAGCATCCCAGGGGTCACGCCGAATACCGAGATAGGCTTTTCCCGCGTTACTCTCAACCTGTGCTCATCTTCTATGCTATTACCCTATTTTATTTCCTTTTATCACCTAGTACTTTCTGAAGTTATGTTGTTAATTTACCTCATGGATTACCCATTTTATTCCAATAAAATGTAAGTTCCATGTCATCAGGGACCTTTGGTCACCTTTGCTGCACTAATGCCCTGTGGAGGACAGTGTCTGGCCCATGGTGGGTGCTCATTGTGGGTTTGTGGAATGAATGTCAGAATAAAGATGTTGCTAAGTATGTGGCTGAGTATGTGAGCCTGCAGCTTGTGGCGGGGGCAGGGGGGGTTTGCGGCAAAGAGCAAACCCGGAGACAACTATTTCAGAGTCCTCGCATAAAGGTGGGGCTTCTCTCCACAGGAATGGCTGAGATGGTGCACTGAGGAAGAGAAGGGCAAAGGGCCCAGGACGGGACCCTGAGAAAGCTCAGAACTTATAGCTCCTTTGACATTCTTGTCATCCACCCGCAGTCTTCTCTTCTTTGAAATTGCCTGTCAATTTTTAGAGCCTTCACCTTCCTTTTTACTATTATGAGCTGTGCACTTTTCTTGTTTTCCTGATCACCATCATAAACCTCTTAAGGAAGGGCTCCTGTAGACAAAATTACATTCTTAAATACATAAAATCTTTTTTAAAGTGGTCAGGGGGATGCCAGAGTGGCTCAGTCGGTGAAGTGTCAGCCTTCAGCTCAGGTAATGGTCTCCTGGTCTTGGGACAGAGCCCCGCATCGGGCTCCCTGCTCAGTGGGGAGGCTGCTCTTCCCTTTGCCCCATCTGCCTCCCTCTCTCTCTCAACTAAATACGTAAAATCTTCAAAGCGTCCTTGAATTAGCTTAGATTGTACTGGACCAGAGTGACAAGCACTGTCACATTATGGAGTTTTCCCCATTGCAATGCCCCTGTTCAGTGTATTAATATTTCAAGTTAATGGGTGCTGTGTCCAAGTTTTTAGTGAATTATTATTAACTTTCCTTTACAAAGGCATGTTTTTAGTCTCAAATTAATCATCAGATTCAACCCAGAAGTCAAATAATATAAATAGACCATGCTGTGAATTCAGGGATTGTGAAACTATAATTGTTTGATCAGTATTAAATGCTAGATATTAATTTTTTTCTAAACTTGCAGGACATTGAAAGAGACTTGAAACAAATGAGAGTTCAGAACATAAAGGAAAGTTTAGTTCTAGAACAAAACTGTAAAGCTAAGGTAATAATCATTTTGTCTTATGGTGTTATATTAAACGGCTTGCTGGAGGGTCCCCACCTTGCAATCTGGGTTGCCTACAGGATTCTCCCCCCTACTATTTTATGGAATTGCCTAATTCCGTGATGTTTGACTAATGGCTTTAAGTATGCGTAATACCAAATAGGAGTTGTGATTTTAACATTTTTATTGGATTGCTAAACTAACATTATTTTCCTTGCTTTCTTCTAGAGAGGGGTGAAGTTTGAAATTAGTTTAAACCAATGTATTTCTGATGAAAACACCCTCCAAGAGGAAGAGGTATGCCATTAAGTATTTATTTCCATTAACAGGTATAAGAAAAATGAGTGTCTTAATAGCACATTTAATGAAAATTTCCGTAGGATATAGGGAGAATTTTCTTTAATCTTCCTAGAAGGATCTCTAGTGTTCAAACCAGTCTTCCAAAATGCCTTTTTATCTTCCCATTATCTTTTCATTGAGATTATTCCCTTAGATGGATTATTCCAATTTAATTTACTTTTCTCTTATAAAGGAATTATTTCCCTCATAATACTAACTTTCTTGCCATTGCCAAATTAAAATAAGAGACTTAATTGTAGTCAACAACTAATATACTTACCTAAAAAACTGAGCAGATATCCTGAAACCATGCACATTTATTTAGGTCTTAATTAGTTATTGATAACTTTGTGCTAGTCTTTGGGTGAATCTCAATTATGCACTTGGGCTCTCATTGACACAGTGATAAAACACACACGTATAGTAAACTCAAACCTCATTTTATTACTTGCATTCAACATCGTTTTTAATCCCACTTTTTACCAGACCTGCTAACAAATATCAAGATCAACTGATTTGTGTTTCCATTTCACCTTCTCTAACTTTGCTTTTTAAATGACCAAAAGTTATGTGTGTGGATGTAATAGGTTCTGTATCACATCTGATACTCAATTTCTTTCTTTCATGTTCTTCATTAGCACAAAAATGTTTAATGTTATCATTTCTTTCTGATTTTTTGTTTTGAATAGATTTCACATTTTAGAGCAGTTTTGAGTTCATGGCAAAAAGGAGCACAAGGTGCAGAGATTTCCCATCTATTCCTGGTCCCCTCATATGCACAGTCTCCCCTCACTGGGGTGGAACATTTGTTACGACTGATGGGCTCAGATGGACACATCATAATCAACCAAGTCCACAGTTCACATTGGGGTTCATTCTTGGTGCTATACTTTCTATGGGTTTTGACGTAACAACCCGTATCCATCATTATAGTACCACACAGAATAGTTTCACTGCCCTAAGAATCCTCTGTGCTCTACTTACCTTTGAGATTTTTTCTACCATTTTGCCACATAGGGACTTCTCAGAGTGGTGACTGTGAACTCTCACTTCTTTGAGCATTCAGCATCTTGGTGTCCCAGAACCAGGAGGATCAAAGGAGGCCTATTTCTGGGTTGGAGCCACAGTGCTCCCATGAAGCCAGGAGCTGAGGTTGGCCTGGTGGTATAAAGGGATGGAGTCAACAGTTTTATCTTCCAGGATGTTCACCCTTTGTTACTCGATGCTTTGGTGTGCTTTAAACAGAGTGATCATTTTAGTATTGATCAGGGAGTGTCAGGAGGAGTTTTAGGGACCCATATTGGGAATGTTGTGCACCTGAAGCAGGGCGTGGACAAGACAACCTTGAGAGTTCTGTAGGATGGAACCTCAGGAGAATTATATTGAAGGCAGCAAGTCTGGATAAAATCAAGTTGCCACATGATCAGTGCTTGTCACTGTCGACAAGTAGAAGAAATAAACACACTCCTGTTTCTATCTTGTTCCAACATAGTTCCAGTTTTAAAGTGTTATAACTTGGGGTGCCTGGGTGGCTCAGTGGGTTAAAGCCTCTGCCTTCCGCTCAGGTCATGATCCCAGGGTCCTGGGATCGAGTCCGCATCGGGCTCTCTGCTCTGCAGGGAGCCTGCTTCCTCCTCTCTCTCTCTGTCTCTCTCTCTGCCTGCCTCTCTGCCTACTTGTGACCTCTGTCTGTCAAATAAATAAATAAAAATCTTTAAAAAAAATAAAGTGCTATAACTTATTGGTTTAATATACATATACTGAATACTTACCATATGCCTTAGGAAATGTCATTACTGGAAACACGCAAAAAATTTTTAACATACTTCTTTTCTCAAAAATATGGCTTGTCATGAAACACTGTGGCCTTGCTTTAGGCAATGGATGTGTGCAATAAAACTGTGACCTTTGACGATGGCATGAAGCTTAAGGAATATAAATGTGTGAAGGAGTATGAAGAGTATACAGACAAAGCATTTGAAGAACTCTGTGGCCCAGAAGCAGGTATGTGTCGTGGCCCTTGGAAGCCAGAGATGAGAAGGGATATTTTACCAGCAGTCCATCACAGTCCCTGTCCTCACTCACCTGCAACATCACTGTCCCTTTGCTGGGCAGAGCCCCTGGTCCTCTGTCACCTGAGACCCAGGTCTTGCTCTGTGCTGTCCCCAGCCAGCAGCTCCATGCCATCCTTTTTCCTCATTATCTGCTGGAAGGCTCCATGGACAAGTCCCACTGGCCTCGCACACTTTGCATTTGTCCACTTGAATTTCAGAGCTCTTCCTTCCCGATGATCTTTTATTTCGGGTACAGCCAGCAGCAGCCTGGCAGTACCTGCTGTTCAGCTGGGGTGGGCTCTGCCCTCAGATGTCTCTGGAGTTTTCCTCCTTCGTTCCCTCTGCCAGTGGTTTTGGGCCCTGTCACCTCTCAGCAGCGTGGTGAGGTAGAAAGTGGTAGAAAGTGAGTGCATGGACTTTGGAGACAGACGGGAGTTTGGAAGCTGGCGCTGCCACTTTCTGACCAGGTGACCTTCCACAAGTGACTGCAGTGCTCTGAATCTCAGCTTCCTCTAGGAATGGGGATAACAGGACTTGCCACACAGGTTTATTGGGGGACGAAAGTGAAATTTCATTTATAAACACCTGGCACATAGTGGGTGCTTAATAAATACTATTTCTAATTTGCTCTTTTCTTGCTTTCACCATACTGCCTTGTTCTCCTATGTGTTTTCTTTTCTCTAGTATCTCCCCCTTCATTCTCTAAATGGCTGCTGGAGTTAGCTTGTTATATTAGTCTTCTACTTCAATTTTTTTGGGTAATGCCAGCAGGATTCCCCATTGTCCATTCCACATATTATCTTATTTAACGCTGTGGAGCCTGATCCTGTGGTGACCCTCCTTTCCTGCCCCAGCACCCCCCTTTCTTCCCACTGATGATGGGATCCAGACAGCCTCCCGGAGCACCCCTCTCTCTTAGAGCTGTGTGAGCATTTACACACCCTGGCTTGGCTCAGGTTCTTCTTCCTGGAATAATCCACCTCACCTCATTTCCATCTGGAAAAACCTTCATTCAGTTCAGCAGGCATCTTACGGAGATTCTCCCATGTGCACAGACTGTACTAGGTGGTGGGGATCTCAAAGATGAATGAAAACTGGGTCCGCCTTCAACATCACTGTGGGGTTGTGAGCCAAAGAAAGGAGGCACAAAACATGTTTGCTGAGCCCAAATCCTAATCATCGTTAGAGCACCAGCTGGCTAAAGTCAGGGAGGTACCCACTCCTACAGAGCCTGGCCTGCTAAGGAGCTTGGGCTCTACCCTGTGTGCTGACCTTTGGACAACAGAAATTAACTCCTATCTGTGATGGAGAAAGATCGTGCTGGCCGCAGTGTCAGGAGGGTGTGGGGTGGCAGGACTAACGGCAGGAGGATAGCAGTCCAGGTGGGACATGACAGGTGCGTACGGCAGAGCAGTGTGGTGAGAATAGACACTAAGTGCAGACCACTGAGTATGGGGGTTGAGGAAGAGAAGGAGGTCAAAGACCCTCTTGTTTTCTAATCCAGATGGATGAAGCTGTCACCAACCAAACAGGCACACACATCATGCAGAGGAAGGTGAGGGGACATAGTTTAACACTCTAGATTTGGGACATATTGGTGTTTAGGTCTTTACGAGCCTCAGATGGAGATGCCTAGAAGATGCTAGCTATGTGAGACCGAAGCTCTGGGGCAAATCAGGGTTTCCTTAGCATACACAAGGTATTATCATAATTGCCTTAGCGATAGTTGAAAATACCTAGGCAGAGGGACTAGAGTGAGAAGGAAACGGAGCTTAGGACAGACCTTAGCAATGTTTAGACAAGGCTTGGGGAAATCCGGAGAGAGCGAAGCCCAAGGAGGAGAGGAAGTTCTAGAAGAAGGTGCAGGGTTGGCAGCATTAACTAGAAGAGAAAGGCCAAATGAGGTGGGTTGAATAACAGCCAACGTTTTGGCCACCAGGATCCCTTAGTGGCCTGAGCGAAAGTTCCAGTGAAAGTGATGAATTCCAGAGTTATTCTTTGTGTAAGTTTGCTGGGAAGAGGAGATCACGAGTTATAGGTCTCAAAAGAGATAGCTGCCCCCCCCCTTTTTTTTAATTAAAATGATCTCCATTTCATACTGAAAATTGTCTTTTAACTTGTCTACATTCTTATAATTCAGGTTGAAAATAATTTTCCATAGGATTTGGTCATCTTATGTCTCTTGTGAATTATGGGCTCTTAACTTTCATCCCTTTATCCACTGAAAATGGCATTTATTTTTTTTTTCCTTTATAAGACTCTTCAAGTTAAAGCTTTACCTGTAATATGTATTGCAAATATTTTTGCCATTTGGTTTTCAGATCTCATCTCCAATAACAGCAGCAAATGTGTGTGTGTACATATATAATTTAGGAATAAACTTTATAAGGATTATGTAGAGCATGTGAAGAATACTATGAAAACTTACTGAAGTATTTACAGATCACGTGAATAAATGGGGATACATACATTGTCATGTATCAGAAATATTCTTTTCAAATAAATATATGGAATTTTGTCATTTTCAATCAAAATCATCAAAGGCACAAAAAAATGGAGACATCTTGGCATATTGGAGAATCTTGGAGACTATTAAGCAGACATTTAGAAAAGAAGAGCAGTGAAGGGGCACATACACTTTCAAATATCAAAATATATTCTATAAATTTTAAAACAATATGACACTAGCACCAGAAAATCAGTGAGAAGAAGAAATAGTTTAGAAACAAACCCTAAGATGGATAGTTATTTGGTGTATGTTGAAAGTTACATCAAAGTCAATGGGAAAGAAAGGCTCAGTCAGATAAATGCTGCTAGGCCAGCTGGTTAACAATTTGGGAAAAATTGTGAAATCAGACCTTATATAATGATACAACAAAATACATTTTTAAAGAACCAAAGAGTTTATATATAAAAATAAAGTTATATATTAGAAAATGAATTAAAAGAACAATCAAACTCAAATGGCAACCTAGGGAATGGGAGAAGATATTTGCAAATGACGTATCTGATAAAGGGTTAGTTTCCAAAATATATAAAGAACTTAAAAATCTCAACCCTCCACCAAAATGAAAAATCAAATTTAAAAATGGGCAGAATGGGGCACCTGGGTGGCTCAGTGGGTTAAAGCCTCTGCCTTCAGCTCAGGTCATGATTCCAGGGTCCTGGGATCGAGCCCCGTGTTGGGCTCTTGGCTCAGCAGGGAGCCTGCTTCCACCTCTCTCTCTGCCTGCCTCTCTGCCTACTTGTGATCTCTGTCTGTCAAATAAATGAATAAAATCTTTTTTAAAAATGGGCAGAAGACATTAATAGATATTTTCCCAAAGCAGACAGACAGATGGCTAATAGATACATAAAAAGATGCTCAGCATCACTGGTCATCAGGAAATGCAAATCAAAACTACAATGGATGTCACCTTACACCTGTCAGAATGGCTAAAACCAACAAGAAGAGAAATAACAGGTGTTGGCAAAGATGTGGAGAAAGGAGAACCCTCTTGCACTGTTGGTGGGAATGCAAACTGGTATAGTCACTTTGGAGAACAGTATGGAGATTTCTCAAGAAGTTAAAAATAGAGCTATTCTATGATCCAGCAATCGTACTACTAGGAATTTACCCAAAGGATACAAAAATACTAATTCAAAGGGAGACATGCAATGCTTATAACAATGCTTATAACAGCATTATCTATAATAGCCAAACTATGGAAACGGCCCAAGTCCATAGACTTAGGAATGGATAAAGATGTGGTATATTTATATATACAGTGGAATATCAGCCATCAGAAAGAATGAGATCTTGCCATTTGCAATGACATGGGTGGAGCTAGAGAGTATTATGCTAAATGAAATAAGTCAGTCAGAGAAAGACACATGTCATATGTTCTCACTCATATGTGGAACTTAAAAAATAAAACAAATGAACGAAGGGGACAAAAAGAGTGAGAGAGAGAGAAGTAAACCAGGACACAGAACCAAGAAACTATAGAGAACACACTGATGGTTACCAGACGGGAGGTGGGTGGGGGGTGGGTGAAATAGGGGATGGGGATTAAGGAGGGCTTAATGGTATGAGCACTGGGTGTGTAACTGATGAATTGCCATATTGCACACCTGAAACGAATATTACACTGTATGTTAACTAACTGGGATTTAAATAAAAACTTTTAAAAAAAAAGAAAATGAAGTAAAAGAAAATCTGGGTGAGTTTGTTTTTGTGGGGGTTTTTGTTTTGTTTTGTTTTGTCTTTTGGATAAGGAAGAACTAGCTATTCAAAATACATGGAGCACAATCATGAACAAATTAGTAATAGATTCCACTTAAGCAGGGAAAAGCTTTGGTGAAGCAATTAATACTATCACCTTCAATAGTTTTATCTAGAGTAAAAATCATGAGAGTCCATAAACATTTAGCTGCAGTGATTTCATTTATAGTATTATTTATAATAGTGAAAAATGGCTAGAAAACAAAACACCCAACCATGAAAAATTAAATTATAATACGCTCATGAAACAGAATACTGTATTTGCTTTAAAATGGTTGTATAGGGGGCACCTGGGTGGCTCAGTGGACTAAGCCTCTGCGTTCGGCTCAGGTCATGATCTCTGGGTCCTGGGATCGAGCCCCGCATCAGGCTCTCTGCTTAGCAAGGAGCCTGCTTCCCCCCTGCCCCCCCCACTGCCTGCCTCTCTCCCTACTTGTGATCTCTCTGTCAAATAAATAAAAATCTTAAAATAAAATGGTTGTAAAGAACAGTGGTTAATAAGGTGGGTATGATAATGTTGCTCATTGGAAAGAGCAAGTTATGAAAGTTGCACATGGTGTGAGGTCCATTTTTTGTTTCAAAACAAACTATATTCAAGGGGAAAGTTTCGAAATTTTCATGGTCTCTAGATGGTGAGATTATGGGTGATTTTCAGATGTCCTATATTGAGACATTGTAATAAATAAAGAAAAAGATTTTTAAAATTAAGATAACAGAACTCAGGGTGTCTTGGTTGTACAGTCAGTTGAGTGGCCAACTGAGTTTCCTGGCTCAGATCTGATCTCAGGGTCATGAGACCCAGTCTTGTGCTCAGCGTGGAGTCTGGGTTTCTCTCTCCCTCTCCTTCTGCCACCCCCCAACCCCTGACTCTCACTCTGTCTCTCAAATAAATAAATAAAACTTAAAAAGGAAAAGGTAACAATTGATTGCATTTCTATGGAAACTGAAGTAAAATGCTCAGAGATGCCTCACGGAATGTGTCCATTCTTGTTACTAATACTTGTTTGCATTTAGATATATTACCTGGTTACTCAAATGTTAATAATAAAAGTGAAACAATTTTTAAACCTGTTGATAATTTTAGTCTTGTAAGTTATAGTCTGTCTTAGTCCGTTTGGGCTGCTTTACAAAATGCCATTAACTCTGTGACTTATAAACAACAAATATTTATTTCTCATAGTTCTGGAAGCTAGAAAGTCCAAGAGCATAGTGCTGACAGATTTGGTGTCTGGTGAGGGCCCACTGCCATGTTTTTGCTATGTCCTCACTTAGCAGAAAGGGTGAGGAGCTCTGTGGGGGGTCTCTCTCTCTTTTTTTTTTTTTTTAATATTTATTCATTTATTTGTTTGACAGAGGTCACAAGTAGGCAGAGAGGCAGGCAGAAGAGAGAGAGGAAGGGAAGCAGGCTCCTTGCCGAGCAGAGATGTGGGGTTTGATCCCAGGACCCTGGGATCATGACCTGAGCTGAAGGCAGAGGCTTTAACCCACTGAGCCACCCAGGTGCCCCGTGTGGGGTCTCTTTTATAAGAGCACGAAGCCCATTCCTGAGGGTTCCACCCTCAAGGCCTCATCACCCCCCCAAAGACCCCACCACCTCCTAAGGTTTCAACATAGGAATTTGGGGAGAGGTTGGACACAGCATTCAGTCCGTAACAATGTATATTAGAATAAGTTGATAATTTCTGTTTTTGAGGGTACCCACAGGTGAACGACTTCTGGATTTCCTAAGAACTCTTTGGTGCAATTAGTTGTGCTTTGACTGCTTTTAAATTAATGAATTATTTTCTCATACCCAGAGTTGTTCATTCAAGACCCCGGCGCTGCTGCAGAGAGCAGGAGACGGTGGGACGCACAAGCTCCTCAGACTCTGCTGGAGATGATGACAGCAGGTGACGTACCCTCCACCTGCTCCACTGGGCCTGAGGGTGAATCCACACCCTAACTCCATAGTTCTCTTTTCAGTACAATCCCTATAGATTTGATATCAAATATCTTCCAAAGATAATGTTTTGGTATCTCCCTCACCTCCTGAGAAACTTGCCTGCTAAGTATCCTAGACAACTGACCACCCCAGATATGAGAATATAAAGGAGGAAAGATCTAGAATCCCACCTCCCTTGAAGTTGAGGGAGATGGTCTAAGGAGGAGTGGTTGGCTTGACCTGTCTTCCATGCTAGCCCAATTATTTCCTTGGAATTTCTTTTCTTTTTTTTTTTTTTTTTAAAGATTTTATTTATTTATTTGACAGAGAGATCACAAGCAGGCAGAGAGGCAGGCAGAGAGAGAGGAGGAAGCAGGCTCCCTGCTGAGCAGAGAGCCCCGATGCGGGGCTCGATCCCAGGACCCTGAGATCATGACCTGAGCCGAAGGCAGCGGCTTAACCCACTGAGCCACCCAGGCACCCCTTCCTTGGAATTTCTTGGAGGGGTTGTTTTTTTCCATCAATAAAATCCGAATTAAGATAATAGCTATCCCACAAGGTTTAGAGTTAGCAGTACAAAAATACATATAAAGTTGCTTTGTATGCCAATGTGCTATTTAAATGTTAAGAGTGTTTAGAATATGATGATATTTCCCACCGAAATTCCTCCATTTACATTTGAGCTTCTGGCATAGTCTTTGCATAAGAGAAGTTCACAGCAACATCTGGGTGTTCTTTTTACAGATGGTAAGGACTTTTATTACTTATTTCTTATGTTTCTCTTGATAACATGGGGCTGGGGGAGAACTAAAATTTATACCCCTTTTATAAATTGGAAAATGCAAGTGTGTCACACTGACATTTATAAGTGTGTGAACTGACTTACATTTGTACCATTACAAAACACTGAAGGCCTCAAACTTGCAAGAAAGGGCTTGCAAATGTAGCAATTTAATCCACTCTAAGCCGGTGAGACCAGTTTAAAATAGGTAGAATAGAAAATTTGACACACTAAAGTGTTTGCAAAGCAAGGGACTTTCATGCCCATCAGCCGTGTGACGTAAGTCACTAAAATATTCTCTATCTCCATTTTCTTACTGGTAACACGAGGGGTGGGATCAAGCTACCTCCAAGGTTCTCACGTTCTGTGATTTTATAAGAAGCCAGATGAAGCATTTTTATTTCCAGTAACACAGTCTCCTCCTCAGGTGGCCAAGGGATGGTGACCTCAGGCATTCCAGAAAACAGGAGACGGTGGCGGCATGAAGCGCCTGGAGCTTTAATGAGCGCTTGGGCTGCAGCACGTCTGACAAGTAGCTCGTTTTCTGCCCACGAAGGCAAATGGGGTACGCAGTTTATTTTTAAGAACATAACCAATCCCCTAATACTGTTATCAGAGCCCTGTGAATTCAGACAGGGGGTAAAAATACCTTCAGCCTGGACAGAGAACTGGAAAGGGCTCAGCCTCTTCAGAAGTTGATTTGCCTTGTCCAAGTCTGTTCCAAATGCCACCAACCCAAGACTGGAGCTTCCCAGAAGAATGGGGTAATTTACTTTAACGGATCATTTGACAACTGATGAAAGTGAATAGGGCAAGTGGCTTTGTAGGTGGTAAGCGGGTACTGCTTAGCTCTACCTGGCAGTATGTTTCTGACAGCAACTCGACAGGCTCAAATTGCTATTCTATAGGCAATGAAAATACATCGTCATATAGTTTCTGGGCTTCGGGGAAGGTTTTGTTTTGTTTTATCTCTGACTTTTTGCAAGATGATGCTGGTGTTTATGGGAAGCCAACCATCCTTTCCCAAGGTTGAGGGAATTCATGTCGTGGGGATTTTGTCTTGGGAAGGCGTGCAGGTGTGCGGCGCTTAGGGACCCATGCTTCAGGAACGCGAGATTGAGGCGATGAGGAGGCAGAGATACAAACTAGGCGTAATGGAGGCTGTTAAGTACTTACAAAGTTAAGGAACAATACAAAAATATGTACCACCCTGAGGATAATGTAAGAGAAGTATGATTGCCCAAGAGTGGGTTTGCCGGCTTGTGAAGCCTAAACTCCACAATCTTTGGGAAATCTGTGTAAAAGTCTTCCAAGAATGTCCAGAAGGATGAATGTGTTGGGAGGGGAGGACTTGCAGATACACAGGCCTGTGGCAGACTCTGAGAAAACCGGTTGGACTGAAATCTAGGAGCAGGCAAGGGGCCCAGGGTCCCTGAGTATATAAAGTCCTTCGAAATCCTTCGCTCTTACGACTTGTATCAGTTATCATGCTGTTGCTTAAAAGTTAAGGGGAGAGAGAGGAAGAAAGAAAGAAACTGCCCTTGGGACCCTCTTTCTACTACATTCAAATTATAAGCAGCCGTGGTTTTTTTTTTTTAAGATTTTATTTATTTATTTGACAGAGATCACAAGTAGGCAGAGAGAGAAAGGAGGGGAAGCAGGCTCCCCGCTGAGCAGAGAGCCCGATGGGCTCAATCCCAGGACCCTGGGATCATGACCTGAGCCGAAGGCAGAGGCTTTAACCCACTGAGGCACCCAGGTGCCCCAAGAAGCCGTGTTTTGTCTGTTTGCTTCCTTCCCTTCCATCCTGGGATACAAGCCTTGTCCCTAAGGATGGGGCTGGAGGCGGTGAGGAGGAACTTTTGGGCTGACCTGGCTTGGCCTGGAAGCCAAGGGCTGGAACCCTAGGGCAGGTGTGAAGGATGACATTCATTTCTCAAGACACTGAGATGGGGACATACTTGGTGGCTTTGATGTTTTTTCTTGAATTTGTTCCTGTGTGTCTTAGAAAGAGTCAAAGGAAAGTCTTCATTTGGTCTGTCATGCCAAATTAATTCATTCATGAACTTCTGTATCTTTATATGGATGATTTTACATTGGGCATATATGAGCAATTTATCTGTCAAGTGAAATTGGAAATAGGAATGTGCCTCCCAAGGTGCATTCAAAGCAGGGTACAGATGTTTTCTTTCACAGCCTGCTAGGGTGCTGCGCTCCCCCAACTCCAGCTGTGCTCTGCGTCTAACTATGGTTGGCCTCTTGACTTCCTGTCCCTCGTCATCTTTTCTTACTTTAGCTCTACCCTTTGCAGCCTTGCTGGATAATCTACCTAAAATGGACCAAATCTCCTTTCAGCTTAAAATCCTGCCAAAGATGCCCTCTTACCCTCAGGATAAAATCAATCTCTTGAAGACTCTGAAGACTGGCATGGCCCTTTGCAATGTTAGGCTTGCTAGTTTTTCTCCCTCAGCAGATGCTCCTCCCTTGGCTTAGAATGCCAGCCTCCTTTTGCCAGAATAATTCCTCCTGCAAGATTTCCCTCTGGTGAACCTCCTCCCATTTCTGTCACTATGTGTCATAGTGGGTGGTGAGGTGGTGAAGTGTGGGTATCCTTCTCTCCCTGGTTTTCCCTGTACTACCTGATGGGGCTTTGTAAAGGGGTCTGGAAAGACATAGATCCTTAAGTGCTCTTTTTTGCATGAGTGAGTGGAAGACCCTGTCACCGTATTAATATACTTCTCTTCAACCCAAAAAAATTCTAGGAAGTCTTCAAGTTTGTCTAGTCTCTCCCTGCCTTTTTCTTTTCTTTTTTAAATTTTATTTATTTGCCAGAGAGAGAGAGAGAGAGAGAGAGCAAGCACAAGCAGGGGGAGTGGTAGGCAAAGGGAGAAGCAGGATCCCTGCTGAGCAAGGAGCCCAAGGTAGAACTTGATCCTAGGACCTGGGATCATGACCTGAGCCAAAGACAGATGCTCAACCGACTGAGCCACCCAGGCATCCCTTCCTGCCTTTTCTGTCAGCTGCTTCTCACAATTTCATAGTCATTCAGTCTCATACTCAAATTTTTCATATTCAAATATTTTTGTTAAATGCATGAAATAGTGACATTTCATCACTATATTTATCTTTTAAATTCAGGTCATAAAAGGATGCAGTATTTTTATTTGAATTTTTAGTGATTGTATGAAAAACCTGGATCTCAAACTATTTCCTGTGTTCCACGGATGGGGAGCCACTGTTTTAAATGATTAAGAAAGATCTGAGCAAGCTTCCCTTGCATCACTGTAGGCTTGGCTTTGCTGCTTAATACCCCACAAGACACTGTAATTCTCTGATCATAAAAATAATGTTCACTTTAATTTCTGATTCTTATTATCTTTCTTCCCCACTAGACCCTAAGCTTACAAGAGCTTTGTCTTGATTACCACACTGTTTCATCTCTCTCTGTCCCTAGTGCCTAGAACTTAGCAGGTGGCCATCATCTTTATGAATGAACATAAAACCATAGCACGTTTTTAGTATTACTTTATGCAAAGGCATGTGATTACTAATAGTCGTATTGCCGTTAAGTTGGATAGGGAAATTATAATGTGAAAAATAATTCTTACAACTGTGTAGACTTTTCATGAAGACTTCCTGCGTGTGTAAGTTTTAATAACTTTGCAGGAATAACAGACACAGTGAATAAAGGTTTTCAAGGATTAGCTATTGGTCATACATTTAAGCATTATTCATAGATTCTCCATCACTGTTTAGCTTAAACTTCCAACTCCTTGAAAATAAATTGCTTTCATGTTTCAAGCCCTGCATTCCGTTAAAAGTGGAACTTTATCAACTACCTATTTAATTTATCCTAACTTTAAGTTTAAGATAGGAAGACTTTGTAAAATCCTCTTCAATGATTTTTACTAGTAAAAACTACATTCTTACTATAAGGACAAGCTTTTTTTTTTTTTTTAATGTGTGCATAATTAATTCAGGTCAGTAAGTTTGTTTACAGTTTAACCACTCCAAGGGGATCCTTGGTGGGAAGGTAACCTCCATTTTTCTTGTGTAAGTTTTCAGGCCACATGGTTGCCTTGGTAATATCATAGATGCATACCCCAATAACAGCTGATTTACATTTCTATAGTTAGCCATTCATTCTTTCTTCTATCCTGTTAAACAAAAAATAAAAGCCTCCTAAAATTGTCTTCCTAAAACAGAAAAACAAAAACTATGATTCCCACACCAACTAGAGTACTCAAGCTGCTATTAAGCAGCCAGACTCCCTCATAGATGAGATACATCAGTCAACTCATTTATTTTATAATGCAGTGTAGGAAATAATATAGGCTATGATTCGGGATGACACATATTATTAGAAATAGGGAAATATTTAAGTACAGTGTGGTAAAATTTCTACTTATAGTTTGTCCATGAAGAGTCAGCTTACCAAAAAAAATAGGCACACTTTAAATTTTTTAATTTCATCTTTGGAGAAAAGTTCCTATTTCTAATCCCACTTGTTAGCAGTGGGTAGGGATTTTTTGTTTTGTTTTGTTTTTTTCCTGGAGACTAACGTGAAACGCAGTTTAGCCCGGTAGGAACCAGATGGTTGCAGAGTGCAGGTGGGGGAGGCAGATTCTGGTAGGTGACCAAAATGAGCACATGCTTTGCTCTTCCCTGTATCCCTGCCCTTTGCAACATGACTTTGCAGCTCCTCCAGCATTAAATGGCTTCTTTCCCCTCTGCTTGGATCTCAACTGGCTTTTGTGATTTGTGTGCCTGAGAAGAAAGGAATAGAAGCAGTGGTGTGCCAAATCTGAGTATTCAAGGAGCTTTTGCCTTTTTTTTTTTTTTTTTTTTTTTGGAAACCTGTCTATCTCTCAGCTAGCTCCAGTTGGCCTGCTGGAAAATGAGAGACAAGTGGAAAAGAGAGACAAGCCATCCTAAGAGAGGCCATAGCAGGCCAGCCAGCCTTCCTCCAGCTGCTCTGGCAAGTGACTGCACATGGGTGACTGGGTCCAACAGAGACTGGAAGGAGCCAGCCAGCTAAGCCCAGCCCAGACTGCCTAATGGCAGAATAGAGACCTCCATAAATGGTTACGGTTTTAAACTACCAAGTTACCTGGTGGTTTATTCCGGAAAAGCCAACTAATATAGACATGCATAGCAAAATTCCCAAAGTGGGGGTTGAAAGTAGGCTAGACATAGACTATGCTGACAAAGTTTTGAAGCCAGCATTTTTAATTCTTCTATGAACTCTTTTAGCTTTTGAGATTTTAGGAAAATCTGTCTCTACATTGCTCTTGACTGCTGCGAGGTTGAAGTTATGTAGGAAAAAACCTGACATCATCTCTGTTTTAATGGAAACAATTTGAAGGTTTACCTTCATGGGTGATGTCCAGTACAGGTTTTGGGATATATACCCCACATCGTGTACATAGGCTGGGAGACTTTAATCTCTCTGTTATTTTTTTAACAGTGGGAACATTAGAACAAAGGCTTCCTAAAGAAGATGAGGGGAATATGGAAATGGCCTCTGGCATTGAAGTAGATGAGGAACAACCAAGATCTGACGATGATGATACGTAAGTAGGTCCTGTCTGGATACCTGAATGAAGCACTGGTGGAAAGTTAAAATGCTATTGCTGAGATATGGACAATAGTCTCAGACCTAGCTGAGGAGACCAAGTTTCACTCACACAAGGATTTGTTTCTGGGCTCTCTGTTCTTTCCCAATGACATTGTTTCCTATCTCAGCATGAGTGATATTCCATCTTAAATTACTGTGCCTTTACCATATCTTTTGGTATCTGGTAGGCCTAGTCCCATACCTGCTTCTAGTCTCCATTTCTTTTTCTTCAAAATTATCTTAGCTGTTGTTGCCCTTTACTTACCACATTATCTTTGCATTTTCTTGTAAAGTGTCATGAGAAACTTTGTTGGGATTCTGAAAATGGGATTACATTTGTTGATTAATTTATAGGATTTGACATCTTGACAATCATAAATCGGAACATCCATGAATGTAGTATAGCTCAGCGTCTCTTTATGTCTTTTCTTAAAATATCCTTTGGCATTTTTGTAATTTTATTCACAACAGAGGTACCACTTAACTTGGTTGTTGTTGCTGTTGTCATTATTGATGGAGCTATTTTTCTTTCACTGTGTTTCAACTTGGCTACTACTAGCATATGGAACATTATTGATGTTGTATTTTGTAACCTTACTGAACTCTTTTATTAGTTCTAAAATTTGGAATCCTTTGAATTTTAAAAATTTTATAATTTACTTTTTAAATAGGTAATACCCTCACATAGCTTCAAATTCAGAAGTTATACTCTTTTCATAGTCTTCTTGCTATCTCTTTACCTCAGGCACACAATTCCCCTTCTAGAATCAACCAATCGGATAAGCCTCCTGTGTACATTTCTCCTGAGGAATTCCATTAAACTGTAAGCCAATATGTAGATCTTTATATGTATGTATTTTTTCTTTTTTTATAGAAACAGTTTCCTAACATACATGCTATCCTGCAATTTTCTTCTATCACTTACCACTGTAGCCTGAATACCTATCATGATATACAAATAGTAGTATACATGCAGTTTAAATACCCAGGAAAGTCAAGTATGAGGTCGAATAATATGGATGTTTGTAATTGGCTATTGTCAAGTTGTCCTTCACAGAGGTTACACCTACGGACACTTCCACTGAAGAGTATGGAAGTGCCTGCCTACTTGCACGTTTTCTTGCTTAGTGTGTTACCAAACTTATGGATCATTGCACAATTGATAGGTTCAAAATGAGGTTTCAGGTTAGTTTTAATTAGCATTTCTTTTTTGAGTAAGGTTGTCTTTCCATATGCTTAATATCCATCTTTACTTCCTCATTGGGGAAAATTTATTCATAGCCTTAACTGTTTAAAAAATTAGGTAACTGGGGCACCTCAGTGGCTCAGTTGTTAAGCGTCTGCCTTTGGTTCAGGTCTTGATCCCAGGGTCCTGAGATCAAGCCTTGTGTTGGGCTGCCTGTTCAGCGGGAAGCCTGCTTCTCCCTCTTCCACTTCTCCTGCTTGTGTTCCCTCTCTCACTGTGTCTCTGTCAAATAAAAAAATAAAATCTTTAAAAAATTAGACTATTAACATTTAAAAAAATATATTTTATTTATTTACTTGTCAGAGAGAAGGAGAGAGAGGGGGAGCACACAAGCAGGAAGAGAGGCAGGCAGAGGCAGAGAGAGAAGCAGGCTCCCTGCAGAGCAAGAAGCCCATGCAGGACTCGATCCCAGGACTCTGGGATCATGACCCGAGCTGAAGGCAGTGGCTTAACCTACTGAGCCACCTAGGCATCCCTAGACTATTAACATTTTGTTGATTTGGGGAAACTTTTGCATTTTAGGGAAATTGATCTTTTATCTATAATATGACTCTAGAATATTTTCCCCAGCTTTTTGTTTGCCTTTTGATTTTATTTATAGTGGCTTGTGCCATGTAGAAATTTCTCATTTTTACCTAGTTAGGTTTACCAATTATAAGAAATGATACCAGTATTTTTTAGTACTTTTATGATTTAGTTTTTAGTTAGTTAAATAATATGTTCCTCTTGAATTTCACTTATACTACACTGCAAAGTATGGCTCCAGCTTTACTTTTTTCTAAATAACTCCTTACTTATTCCAACAACATTTATTGAAAATCTTCATTTCTCTAACAACTTGAAATGTCATTTCTATGATATACTACATTTTTATATATACTTGCATCCAACTCATTCTTTCTAGTGCAATTATTGTATTTTAAACATGTTGTTTATAATATGAATTGTTATTTTGGAAGGACAGTTCCCTTAAATGCTCTCCTTTTCCAGTATTTTTCTATCTAGTCTTACTTGTTTATTTTTCCATAAGCAACCTGCCTAGCAAATAAAGAAGGGAAAGAAGGAAGGGAGGAGAGGATTTTCTCAACCTGCTTCCTGCCTGTAGAATTTTGGAGTCCAGCAGGCTCTTTTCAGTTAGGATTGTCTGTGTCCCTTTGGGTCCAAACTGGTTATGTTTCTGCATAAATATTTCTTTTGAAAATCTGGAGGGCTCCACAAATCTTACTGCTATTCACTTTATTTGACAAAAGCCAAATCCACAAATCTTTTTTAGGTTTCCCTGGAAACCCTACTCTTCGATAATAATTTTGAGATTCATCCAAATCAATAGGTATCAATAGGTCATTCCTCTTTATTGCTATGTAGTATTCCTTATATAGATATACCACAATTTATTTATATATTCATCTATTGACTGATGTTTGGGTTGTTTCTAGTCTTTGGTTATTATAAATAAAGCTGCTATGAATATTTATGTACATGTCTTTGTGTGGACATAAATTTCATTTCTCATGAGTAAAACCATAGGAATAGAATGCCTGAGTTGTGTGGTAGGTGAATGTTTAGTTTTTTAAAAAACTGCCAAGCTATTTCCCAAAGTTATTGGGCCATTTTATATCCCCCAAAATAGTGCCTAAGTGTTCTAGTTGTTCTACATCTTTACCAACACTTGGAATGGTCTCTTTTTAAAAATTTAGCCAATCTAATGGGTGTATGTGGTGTCTTGGTAGTTTTTGAGTCATAGGCATTATTTATATATCCTTGCCACCAGTTCTTTGTTAGATATCTATATTTTGTCAATTATTTTCTCACTGTCTGGGTTTTCTTATTCATTTTCTTAATGGTATGAGTCAAATTTGAAGTTTCTGACTAATGAATTTTTTAATCACTTTCTAAAATCAGAATTTCCAATTTACTTGTACTTTGGACAGAGACCATCAACTGAATTTTAGTGATTTAAAAAAGTTAATTGGTACTCCCTTTGTTATTCAGTACAGGGTCAATTTTATGATTGTTACACATGTACTTGAAAATATGCATATTCTTATTATTCCGGGGGCACATATGTTCTATATAATTATCAAGCTTAAAACATTTTTTTTGTGAAACTGCTCTATAGCCTCCCCCACCCCTTATCACTTCTGAATGGAAGTACATTAAAATCTTCAACTGGGTTTGTGGCTATGATTATTTCTCCTCAAATTTCTATCTCATTTTGATGTACTTGAAATACATAGAAACTATGATTGTTCTATCAGTTTGGTAGCATACTCCTCCCTTTTTACATTATGTGTTTTAATTTTTGTCCCTATTAAAACTGTTTGTCTGAAATTCTATTTTGTTGGATACTGACATTGCTATTACAACTTTTCAATTATTTTGTATTTTTTAGGATTTTGCTAATGTGTATTTTTAAATTTTATTTTCATTATTTCTGTGTGGTTTCATTATAATGTGTTTCTTATAAAATGCATGTAGCTGGTTGTTATGCTTCTTGTCCTGTGATAACCTCTGCCTCCTAATTAGTTTAATATAATAAATGTCATTATTGACATATTTGGCTTTATGTTTTAGCTTGATTTTGTGTTTTTTGTTTGCTTTCATTTGTCATTTCCTTCCCCTCTTCCTTTCTAACCTTTTGTTACATTGACAAACTTTTCTATATTACTCTAGTCTCCTCTATACTAGTTTTGAAGATACAGATTATATTTTTATTCTTTTAATAGCTAGTTTTTATGTACTTCCTATGGATTGATATAACTAATTCAGAACTTGTCCAGTGTTTTTTTTTTTTCCTCACGAATACGACAAACATATCTAACCACTAAAACCCTTCCGTCCTGATATTGTTACCTAGAGTTATAATTTTACTTAAAAAACATCTTTTATTGTGGAAAACTTTAAACATAGTAAAAGTAGAGTGAACAGCGTAATGAAACCTTATGTATCCATCATACAGCTTAATAATGATCAGCGTTGTCTTTACTGCCCACCCTGCCCCTACACCCTTTTTTAAAGGTTAGAACATTCTACGTTTGAGACATCAAATTATATAATCCTATTTTACCTTTTTTTAAAATAAAAAATAACATTTTTTTATTCTCAAACTTAATTTGCTATTGTAGTTTATCATTTTCTGAACTTGCCATGTTTTTTTTTTTTCTAGTCTGTGGTCTTCCTTTGGTTTCAGTTTTCTCGCTGTTGTATATCCTCTAATAATTCTTTAAGATAGTTTAGTGGCTGGTAAACATTCTTATTGTTTGCATATCCAAATCTTTTTTATTGTTTTAATTGTAATTTAGTTGGGTATACAATTTTAGGTTGACAATGATTGTTCTCCTGATCTTTATCACTGTTGATGAGAACAATGCTAATTGTTTTCCCTCTATAGATATGCTAACTTTATCCCCAGCACATCTGTAATGTTCTTTTTGTCTTTATGTTCTTATGTTTCACTGTTGTATGTATGGTCTGGACTTCTCTTTTATCCTGCTTGGCTCGCTTTCTTCTGAGACCCATGACTGTCTTGAGTTCTGGAAAATTTTTACCCATTACTTTTCCAGGTGTTGCTTTTCTTATTTTGCTCATTTTGGTACTCTAAGTAGATATGTTTTGGAGCTTCTCAATCTTCTCAAGCTTCTCAATGTCCCCAGTAACACCTAATTATACTTTCATATTTTTTATTTATCTCTTTGTTCCATTCTAGGTGACTTCATAAATACTATTTTCAAAACTATCTGGGTATCATCTATTAAGTTTTTAATTTAAATGATTATATATCTCCTAAGAATTATATTTGTTTGTTCATATTTTTATATGCTCTTCTTTCATTACTGCATAATTATTTACCCTAATTTGAAAATATTTAAAAATGGATGCTGTTCTTTACCTTTTTGAGCATACTTAAAGAGTGTTTAGGAGTGTCTGTGTCTCTTTGGGTCCAAACTGCTAAAGAGTGTTATCAAAATTCTCCCTAAGAGTAATTCCATCTAGACCTTGTTCCTGGTCCCACTTAAATTTTTTTCTTTTTGTTTATTTTTCTCTTACCATTATATTTATTCACATGTTTTGGAATTTTAGTTTACAGGATCATTTTGTTTTAGAAGTTTTGTGTTTTGTTTTTAAATTTTCTTCCTTCCCTTTCTATCTCTGTGCACCTCCTGCATATCTAACAGGTTTTGTTTTCTTCAGTGTGTTCCCTTACATTCTTGCTAGCTGGAGCCCTTGAAGAGCTACACTTCAGTGCAAGGGAAAGTGCAAAGGAAAAAAATCTCAGTAATATAGCTTGTCTGTTTGGTCTTAATCTCTGGGAGAAGAATTCACTTGGATTTAGAGTTTGAATTTACAATACTTGGCTGTCTGGAAACATGTATATTGAGAAATCAACATTAAAATTAATAGTAAGAAATCATAATACTCTGGGATCTCTAGAAGAAATAAATACGAAACATTCTGGAGGGGTATAACTTCAACCCAGGCTACACTGAAGTTTCTCACTAAGGCACTGCTGAACATGAGTTCACAACTAAAAATAGAATCCACTATGAGAGACAGCAAGCACAAAAAAATAGCTGAATTAGACCATAAAGAACTTCAGATAATATAACTATCCTATGAATATTTAATATTTACATAATAATTAAAACTGCATTTTAAAAATTAATCAAAGTAAGGAATGGAAACGTAAGAAAAAAAGCAGATCTATCAGAAGGGAGCAGGAATATCTGATTAGCCAAACAGAACTTCTAGAAATGAAAAAAATCCACTAATAAAAATCAAATGACAGTTTAAACATAGAATGGGTACAGTTAATGAGGGACTTAAGAACTGCAAGACAGACCTGAAGTAAAACATGATGGAAAATGTGAAGGAGGAGTTAAGAGTCATGAAGATCCAACATACATCTAAAAGGAGTTTCAGAAGAAGAGAATCAGAGAAAAGCAATATTCAAAGCAATTATAGCTGTGAACTTTTTACAGTCACTGAAAGCCTTAAATTGTGATATCTGGGAAGTAAAACAATAACCAAGTAGGAACAATGAAAAGAAATTCACATCTAGACACATCATACTTTAAACTACAAAGGAATGAAGATAAAGGGAGGATCTCATGTAAGCATGCATCTCAGGAATGATAGCTTCACAGTGGGAGCTCTAGTTGCTGGTCTACCCCGAATTTATGATCTCTAATTTTAGTGAAGTCCTCTGTGGTATCTGGCAATCCTATGCCTGGTTTGCTTCCTTCCAAACCCTCCACCCAGTAAGCTAACCCCCATCTACCTCACTCTCATCATGTGACCATGCCTCCTACTTCATAGAGATAATACGTGGTTTGTAAGTGGAATGGTCTTGTCTAGTTTCGTAACTTCTCTCTATCCACATGAGTCCTCATTGCCTTCTCTTTCCCTATTTTCCTTCTGAGACAAAAAACTGTCTTCTTTCCTGCTGAAAGCACATCCTGACACAGGTGCCCTGAATCCCAGCCTTTCTTAGAAAATGTGTTCCTATCTATTATCTGTCCTTTTCCTATATTTTTAACATCTATTACCTACTTCCTCTCAGGATATACACATGCCCAAATCTGTCCCTTCTTGAGACACACCAAAAAATCACTGCTGTCATCTTCTTGAGTTAACACCATCTGTTCAGAGCCAGGCTCACCTCAAAGGAGTTTAAGCTCCTTGTCACTGCTTGCTTACCTCCTACTGCTTTCTTGATCCCCTGATGGTTCCTGCCACATAGCACACTGAAATGTTCTTGCAAAGGTCATCTATTACCTTGAAATTGCCAGGTCCAACTGTCATTTCTGACTTACTCTTATTTGGCTGATCCCTATCTGGAAATTCTCTGCCTCCTTGGTGTCCATAATTAACACTTTCTTGGCTCCTACCAGATCTTCCTCAGCCTCTTTATTTGCCATGTAAATATTAGGGATCATTGAGATGGTTTTCTTGGTCTCCTGCCTTCTCCCCTTCGAAGCATATCCATGCTGAGGTCTTAGATACAATTTTGATTCCTAGTCCTACTGTTCAGTATCTGAGACCTTGGGCAAGTTTCATTAACCTCTCTGAGCCTCAGCTTCATTATAAATTGATGGTGAGAATGTCTACCTCAAAGTGTTGCATTAGATGAAATATCGTATGCGTAAAGTGCTTTAGGGCAGTTGCTGGTGTATGATAAGGCACACTGTTTGGCAGCTGTTTTTTTTTTTTTTTTAAGATTTTATTTATTTGACAGACAGATCACAAGTAGGCAGAGAGATAGGCAGAGAGAGAGAGGGGGAAGCAGGCTCCCCGCCGAGCAGAGAGCCCGATGTGGGGCTCGATCCCAGGACCCTGGGATCATGACCTGAGCCGAAGGCAGAGGCTTTAACCCACTGAGCCACCCAGGCGCCCCTATGGCAGCTGTTTTATTCTTCTCTCTTCCTCTCCTTTTAAGAGTAGATGGGTATTAACAAATATAATAAAGGTTGTTGAACACAAGTCCAAGTAAACAGAATACTGATTATCCCAATATTGGCTTTTTTTTTAGTCCGTCTGGAAAGCCAGACTGATATAATAAATAATTCATTACCTGGGTGAAAATGCAACTATTAAATTGCTTCAGTGGGGGTGGGAAGTGAGATGGAAAACACTTTCATATGTATTTTTCATTGTTTTGATATCATAAAGTTGATTTTTACCTCTTATTTTCAGAAATTTTGAAGAATCTGAAGATGAGTTGAGAAATGAAGTAGTAGAATCTCTGGGAAAACCTGCTCCTCCCAAAGAGGAAGAAAAAAGAGAAGAGATTCCTGGTTTCTCTAAGGGTGCTGAAAAATTAGGAGGAGAGAAGATAAGCACCCAGAAATATACAGAATTAAATGAAGATTTAGAGAATATTTCTACTCGAGCTGACGACAAAATATGCATTGCAGGTGAAAACCAAGAAACATCAACAACCCATCAAAATATACAAGTGTGATTATTGCAGTTTTTCTTAAGTGATAAGTTAGTATCTATTAACTGTAGTATCTGGTTGGGTCCAAGTCATAAACATTCATTTTGTAAGAGTTTTCTAATAATCCCAGGGATTTATTGTTTTTTTTTTAATTGGGTTATATTAGTTAGCATACAGTATATCACTAGTTTTTGATGTAGTAGTGTTCCATGATTCATTGTTTGCCTATAACACCCTGTACTCCATGCAATCTGTGCCCTTGATACCCATCACTAGGCTAGACCTTGAGACTGACCAATTTGAGTGTAGAAATTAATATTTTACTTTAAAATTTCTATCAGGAAATCTTTGGGACAATATATGTGGTAGGCAGACAGTGTAATGTGTCTCTCTTCCTGCCACCCTCCCTCCCAGTACACCCAACAATGTGAATATATTGTTACATGGCAAAGGGGAATTAAAGTTGCAGGTAAAATTAAGGCTGCTAATCAGATGACCTTCAAAGAGGGGAAGGCTTTTCTTTCACTATACAGGTGGATCCAATGTAATCACAGGGCTATTTAACAGTGGAAGAGGGAGGCAAAGAGAGAACAGGAAGATGTCAGCGAGAGAGGGGCTCAGCCTGGTGCTGCTAGCTTTGAAGACGGAGGAAGGGGCCAGAGGCCAAGGAATCCAAGCAGCTTCCAGAAGCTGGGAAAGGCCAGGCGATAGACTTTCCCCAGAAGTCTGCAGAAGGAACACAGTCTTGCTGACATCTTGAATTTAGCTTTATGAAATCCACTTTAGACTGCTGCCCTGCAGAACTGTAAGATAATAAATGTGTGTTGTTTTAACTAAGTTTGATAATTTGTTAAGACAAGGAAAGAAAACCAATACAGTGTACAAAGTAATTCACTTAGAATAATGAATGTACCATTTTTGAAAACCATGACACTGAAATTTCTTAACTTCTATTGAATACTTTTTTGAAGCAGGTGTTGACTCTTAAGGGAGTAGGTTAACTGAGCACAGAGGATCAAGGCATGTCATGTTAATTATGCACCAAGTAATCATCTTACTATGTTTTATTGAATTAATTTCTAACAGCTTCAAATGTGTAGATTATAAATTACTTAAGGGCAGGGACTCTACCTGGTCGTTGTATCTTATGCTGGTCTTTTTACATATGGGGCTTAGCAGAGTGCCACATTATAACAATCCCAGTATTGAACATGTGCCTGGGGCTTAACAGACATTTGTTGATTTATTGTGTTGTTGCTATGAAGGACAGAGACTTTACATTTCTAAGTGGTAGAATTCTGCCTAAAATATATGCTCTGTAATAAAAATATAACTAAAATTGCACATTGATCCATTGCTGAGCCAAGAAAACAATGAGGAAGGGTTGGTCGGATTATTTCTAAGGTCTGCTTAGTGTTTACATTTGATATAACTTCATTAAATGTTGGGAAAGTATCAGGATTCACCTGTGGGATGAATTCTACATGATGTGTCTTTTATGCCTGTATTTTCCTGGTGATGTTGGAGGTACTGTTCTTTCAACTTGGGTGTTTTGGGTTATAATCTACTCTTTTCTGGAGTGCTCAGCATGATCACATCATGAGGCTCAGAATATTTAAAAATTTCTCACCACTGTGTTAATGTCAATCTTGGTAACGCACGACGTTGAGAGATTGGAGCATCATTAATTCTAGAAGTCTTTTAGTGGTCAGTGTATACATGTTTAATTTACTTTCAAAACATTATGTGGTTCAGACATACTAAATCTGTTGGTGTGCTAAACAAATACTAAGCAGTGCTTGAATGCATGGAAAATGAAACATGGTTCCTGAAAATCCCAAAGATCCAAAGACTATTCAGTTATATGTGGGGCGGGGGGTGGGGTGGGGAGGAATGAATGTTTAAGGTCAATATTTAAGAATAAGCCTATCGAGTCTGCTCCAATGACAAAATGCTTGCTGAAGTTTCTAGCTAAAAGCTGCCAAGCCTTATTCATTCTAAGATTTTGAGTTCTCTGCTGTAAAGTAAGAAGTATTCATTGTGATAAGTATACATACATGCAAGGTTTTTCAACCTACTTCAGCCCCTAATTCATCTTACCCATCTTACGTATACCATTACCTAAATCATGTTCTTGAGGCACAATCGATTATTTTATTCTTGATTTACGTTTAGCTCCATGTGTTAAGTTGAAACTATTGATCAGATTTGAATGTGTTTTTAGAATAAATTTAAGAATTTTTAAAAAATTTATTTGACAGAGAGACAGCCAGAAAGGGAACATAAATAAGCAGGGGGAGTGGGAGAGGGAGAAGCAGGCCTCCCACTGAGCAGAGTGCCTGATGTGGGGCTCAATCCCAGGACCCTCAGATCATGACCTGAGCTGAAGGCAGACGCTTAACGACTGAACTACCCAGGCGCCCCTAGAATAAATTTTATTAAAAATTATACATCTTGGTAACTACGTATCATAGCCATCAAACTGATCATTCTTTAAATGGTGTATCAACTCTTAACTTCCTTCCTAAGTACCTTGTAACATGTACAGTCCAAGTGAGCATAAAGCCCTCAACTATTAGAACTGATGCGTCTTTAAAGTCAATGGTGGCCTCAGAGTTAGGGTGGGGACAGAGAAGAAAATCAGCTGAGGAACAGTGGGAGAGGGAAAATTACAAGCCTGTAATTTGATTTTAGTAATTTGCACAACTTCTTGTTGTGGGTAACTTTTTTGTTGTACCCAAATCTATTGAAAGATTTAGCAGACACTCTATATTATATCATAGTCCTGGAGTCTAGGGTACATTTACATAATTAAACACAAGTATTCTGAAACATTTATAATTACCTGACCACTCTCTCATAATTTTGTCTGTAAGATGACTTTGTAAAAAACCCTGAAAATTATTAAAATAAAGTGTAGGAAGCTCTGCAGTGTTTTGTAGGTCTGAAATATTTGTTAAAAGAAAAATGTCTATTAAACCTGACAACCTATTTTTCTTGGGTATCAGAGGCAAGACAATTTTACCTTTAAATTCTTTCTCTTTTTTTCCCTTTCCTTTCCTTTTTCCTTTCCTTCCTTTCCTCCCTCCCTTCCTTCCTTCATGGCACACGGAGCTTAAGAAATATTAGTAGTAGGTAACAATTCAGCATTGGGAGACCGCATGGAGGTGCATATGTACTATATGGAGGAAAGTATCCAAGATAATGAAAATTACTTTCTATCACAAACACATTTTGTATCTATTAAATCAAAATCCTATTAGACACAAAGAGATTACTATGCAAAGAACATGTAACATGTATTTTATTATGTACAACCCAAATAAGAATGTGAATCCCCACTGCTGGGGGTTCAAAATATACCACGTTTGGACCACTCAAAAACGTTTTATCGGAATGAACAGTCACTCAGAAGTTCTCCAGACAGACAGTAGTTGACACATTGTTTTGACACTTCATGGTTATCAGTCATTCTGGAAAAAAGACACATAATAACCACACTAGCAATAGGGAAAGTGAACAGATATGCGAAGTATGTTTCCAGTGATGGGTGTGACAAAAATAATTTTGAAGAAACAAGATTAAAAAATGCTCTATGGCATTTCAGAATCCTTTTTTCCTATATTGCATCCTTTCCTTCTGCTTAGTCCACTTCGATTTTTTAATCCTATGGTTTTCTGAGGGTAGAAGGGTAGACTGCGGGTACAGTGGCACAAATCTTGCCCCAAGACTAGCTACAAGATAAGAAAATGAACTGGGCTGGAGTCAGAGCACCCACTATAATCCTGATTTTGTCCTTAAACAGCTTTGTGAGACTGGAGTCTTAAGGTCTTTAAAGTGTTCTTGTCTGTAAAACTGAAAATGAGAAACTGGACCCGAGGATTTGTAGGGTGCCTTCCAGCTCCAGTGTCCAACCGTCTTCTTTTTCTAAACTGAATCATCTCCACCCAAAGCTGTGTTATGTCCCACCATCCTGGGACTCTGTTTTGCTGCTTTTCCAACTGATGACAGAGGTGGCCCGCAGACGAGTCAACAGTGTAACTGGGAGCAGATGATGAAGCTGGCGGCGTCCCTGACTGGATGAAGAGTTTCCCAGGCCCCTTACACACACACATATCAGACTGTGCAAGAGGTCCATTCACTGAACTAGAAGGAGCTAATTATGTATGCAGAAAACACCAAGTGTTGTAGGTCTCTCGAGCCCTATCTGCATATCCACATACTTTTAAGCACTGCTAGTGATTCAGCACAGTAGTCCTAGCTACCGACTTAGTAACCATGAGTCTCCCTTGAGTCTTCACGCATTAATAAGGAGGACTGATTACAAGAGACATCTACTATATATTGTTACTTTTAATGAAATTACTTTATAAAGATACCTTAAAAAAAAAAACTTAGTTCTGGTTTTCAAGGTCTTTTCACATACTTTCCAAATCAGAGTCACTGAGAGGTAATGAGGACAGGTATTACCATCTACAGATTATAGGTGAAGAATTGGAATTTCAAAAAGATTTAAGAAGCAGCTTCGGTTTTAGGAGGTCTGATGTTTGTAAATGAAGATGCTGGAGTCTGGAGTGCTTTTCTAAAAGCCACCTCATCATCTCCCAAGGCACGATGCTGCCAACAGAGACCTGAGAGGACGGAGCCCATTCGTCCATCGTCACTATGAGAAGAGCATCTTGGCACGATGTTCTCACTCCGACCTTCTGAACAGCTTCAAGCAGACTTGCAGCTCCCGAGATGTGGAACTGTGATGGGATACCAGGGTAGCCCTTTCCATCAGCACAAATGTACTGGGAGCACTAAACAAAAAGCTACTCTAGTGAACCCCAAGCTACAGAAAGACTCTGTGCCTCTGCCCCTGACAAACGCCTGCGGACATTTACTGTCCGTCTGTCTTTACGCCCGCAGGGCAGTCACTGTCCCTCTGTCTTTTTGCTGTGTGCTTTTAGAACGGGATGACGCCTGCTTCAAGTGTCTTTTCTCTTTAAGGAAAACCGTCAGATATATTCAAGAAGGTCATC